GTAGCCAAGCTACATCGTAATTATAAACAAATTCGCATATCTAATAACTCCTTGTTATTAATTACGACGCATACCATAGGATTTTCAATACGCAATTAAACATCAGCTTCTTTGTTCCTCGTAAAGACCAATGTGACATATGCGAAGCATATAAGAGTGCATTAGATAAAGAATAGTTAATGCCTAACTACCAACTACATCACGAAGAAAAGAGTCTTAGCAGAATAGAAAAAAAAAAGATAGACGAGTGCAAAAAGTGTGGCAGCAATGTCATTGTGGCAAACGAAACAGGTTCCTGTGTGTATAATGTCTTAAAATAATGCTCTTCGAATAAACCGAATTCAGACATAATTTTTCAGAAAAATAAATTCATACTATGCTTGTACTATGATGCCGTTACAACTTTACCAATTAAGTCAATAACACACAAGTTTCTAATTCGCGGGCATACTCAAAATGCAATACTCATGATGCAGTACACTCGATCGGAGTTTAAAACTGTGTAATTTGTAAGATAGTGAGAATGTGATTCTTCAAAGATCGAAAATTTTTGTTGAGTTAAGAGTTGTGTTGATTAAAGTGTTTGTTAGTTTTTCATTATAATTACTGTCAATTTTATTTCGAAGTTAAGACTGATTATTTGTACGAATAAAATTCATAATGAGAGTTAAGACTGTTAGAATTAATTAAAGTGTATAAGTTTGTATTACCTAGAATGTAATCAAGATTAAAACTAGGATGATTAATATTATTGTTAAAAATTGTGTAATTTTTTTAATAGACTGTTGTTTTGAGATACTTTTTAGTTATTGATTTTATGAGAAGAAAATATACGTAATAAATATGTTATAAGTTTTATTTTATTTAAAAACTTGTCTTAAATCATAAACATAATATAACGCTCAAATAATTAAATTATATTTGTACCTGGCGACAAAGTCACAAGTTACGACTTTTTTTTGTTTCCTTTTTTTTTCAATTTTCTAATAAAATCAAAGAAAACTTTTTACATGATACTGTAGTTAAAAGAACAAATAACATAATTTTAATGAGATATCCCGGCTGCTGTAGGTAGTTATCTAGAAATAAGGAAAATTATTCGAAAAAAAAACTTAAAAGTCCGTTCCTGTACAATCACAAAATGACCTGTTGTGACTTTGTTGGACCGAGGGTGCGCTATGTTCCACAGGAGTGGTACGAGAACAGACCCCTGCGGAACACCGCACGACATGGGCCAACGCCTCAAAGCACCATCTTGGTCTTCGTACATGACGGTACGCTCCTCTAAGTAGTCTGCTACTAGAACTCTCAGGTACTCTGGCACCCCATGATAGTGGAGTGCTTCCCTGATGCAACTGAATGGCAGATTGTTGAATGCGTTGGCGATGTCCAAGGACACCGCAAACAGCACCGCCACGGCTCACCGCCTCTTCGACCCCGGTCCTGAGGCGCAACACAGCTTCGACAGTCCAACGCCCGGCTCGAAAACCGAATTGGGCCGGACCGCTCACTGTCACTAGACTAAATCTAGTTGGGCTTCTGAGTAGACGATAGTAGGAGTCATACAAAAATGCCGAATTGTTCAGTTTTTTGCTTCAAAAAGTGATCTGCCACGTAAAGTTTACAAAAAGATGGCGTTACCTTTCATATGTAACAATTAACAATCAAGTTATTTCTATTTTCTCAATTTTAAACTTAAAATTAACGAAAATAACAGTTGTATTGTTTTGGATTTGTTTACTAACACAGGCCGTTTGCGCGCATACAATTTTCGACTCGGTCGAGCGACCAAACCGAGTGTCGTCTTGCTTATCGCTATCACCGTGTGATGGTGTTGTTACCGGTTTGTAAATAGTAGATGTCGATTAAACATACATACATCCATGTCTCTCGTGCATACTATCATTTGTGCAATTATGTTTTCTGATATAATTAATATACCTAATTATGTGGATTTGAGCTTTATTTTAATATAGATTAATATAAAAATTGCGTCCATTCAAATATAATACAATATTTACGAGTATTAACCCTTGTTAAAATTACTAAGTGTGAACTACGACTACATTGTTGTTATTTATTTATTGCAGGTTTTCTAAAGTTATATGATATGAAAAATTTATATGGAGGAACTTTTGTAATAACAGATACCTTAGCTGGATACCTACAAGTAATAGTGTCATTTGCTCTGATCATTTGAAGTTCTCCGACTTTTAGGTGTTGGTGAACAATAGAAGCATGGAACATTCTTAATGAAAAAATTTAACGACCGATAATATTCGACCGATATTGCGTATCGATAGTTTTTACAACCACTTTGTAGTGCGTCAAATCATTACACTGTTATTACACAGAATGTGTATAGGTGTGTGAAGTTATTAATGTGTTGTTTTAATTGTTATGTCTGAGTTTCGTAGTGACAGCCGACCGTTTTTGTATGGGAGTCTGAGAATGTGTGCGTGGTGAAGACAATGCATGAATGACCCGCCCCTCCCCCCCGCTAAAAATTATAGACTATTTTTTATCGCGAAAAGACGCTATGGCTACTCCTCTCCGGTCCGACGGTGGCCTGTTTGCTCTATGCCATGTATTAATATTATCGAATTCAATGATTGTATTTCTACTTGTTTACTCGTAAGTAGGTTTAAAAAAACAGTCATTTATTTACAAATAAGTAATACTAGTAATAACAACTTGACACATCTTACACACTGGCGTGTGATCCCAAACTTAGCAGTTTGTGCTCTGGTAACCAGACGTCTGATAAACATACCTGTAAGTATACATAGTAGTTATGGATAAATAAAAACCAGTCACAAAATAAATGATCGCGCTCATCACACACTTATTTGTCCTGGGTGGGAATCAAACTCACGATCTCAAGCTTAGCAGTCAGGGTCACTAACCACTAGACCAACAGGTCAGTCAAAAATGTAGAAAGCTTTGCACTACATTCAAATACTGAAAAAACCAGTCTCATTTTGTAGGTATTTTAAAAATCTGTTTTAAATTGATAAACACGTAACCTGTTAAGTAAACCAAATAGTATTGAAAAAAAAGGTTGATTACAAACGTCATTGAAAACACTACGGTACATGTGACACCATTAATAAAAAAGGTTACATTAGAAAGCAAAGGCACTCTAGAAAGCAAAGGGTCTACTCTGTTTGTATAAGGTTAGCATGAAACGAAATAATATAAAAAAACCGAATATTATTTATCCAGGTTTAGTTGTTACCCATGGTTCCCTGACCTATGCCATGCTGCCTAAGCTATGGAACCATATCAATTTCTTCTGAGATGCCACGCTCAACCCCATCTGTCTGCCTAAGTGTCGTCCGCATAGCAGACGACACTTAGGCTAGAGAGCAGACTGGTGCGAAGAACCGCCCCAGGCTCCTGCGTCCATTAGGAGCCGAAGATCCGAAGGAATTATCCACCCCATCACAAAAAATAATTAAATCCTAATCATTTATCTACATTTCATAATTTTGCCCAGCCCCTTAGTAAATGCTGGGTGCGCCCACGAAACATTCCGAGTACCAACTGCAATTTTTTGTGAAGATAAGGTATGGTTTAGAAAATTTGGAGGACACGTTTTTTAACGAAGGCGGTGAAAGTTGCGTTCCTTTACCTTATAAGTTTTTAGGAGTTAACTTCGTTTAATCATAAATTTTTACTTATATTGTTCTGAAGGTTTCTTGTAGTTAATTTTGATCACTCATGCCTAAAATAATATCTAGAGGGACAGACACAATATCAACAAAATATCAAAATTGATAAACTATTTTATGAGGAACGCCGAACGATACTTGTCACCTCTCTGCATTTTATTATTATTGTAAGAACAAACCTATAGCACCGTTGACAGTGTTGATATTGTTGACACTAATGACAGCTTACGTTTTCAGATTTAGACTCTTTAGACAGTCTTTATTAGTGATGCGCAAAATGTATCACTGAGCTGAAAAGATTGATACATATCATTTCGCTCTAAATATATATTTCACTCATCTAGCTCACTAGCTCATTAACTCGTTTAGCTCACTAGCTCATTGATCCGATTCAATTGATTGTTCTCTCAATTAATTCATTTCTTCATCTAGATCGTTTAGCTTAGTGTACTCGTATATCACTCACTTAAAGCCTCTCTCGCCATACAAACCTTTCTTTATTTTCATATGAACCTTAATTCAGTTCTTGAAACTACATTTTTAACCCTTTTTTTAAATTCATTTTGATAAGATTACATAATTATTAACACCCTTTTATATAATAATTAAAAATAAGAATATATAATTATTATAATTATACTGTAATAATACTGTATAATAATTATACTGTACTTTTTTTTAGGTTGTATATTAGAAATCATACATAATTATATACATAAATTGATTTTCCTTGTACTTGGTAGGCTTAATTCTTAAGTAATATTAAACTTTGATCCTATAGAAATAATGTACATTTTGCAAAAAAAACTTGCGTGAACTCAACCATCATCTATCTCACTCATTTATCTTTAGTCTCACTCGATCATGAGACAAAGATCAGAGTCGTTGAGCTAGTGATCTAGTGAGCTAGTACTGAGTTACTGATATACAACTGATATACCTATTCGGATCAAGTGTGAGTGAGTGATACATTTTATCGTCGTGAATGATATATATCTTTTATGTCACTCACTCAGCAGCTACACAACTCTAGTCTTTATGTTTACCTGATTGTCAGCGTATAAGATTATTGAAAAAGCTGTTTAAGAATTTAAATAATTAAATGATTGCAAGTAATTTTACATGAATTTAAGACCAGATGCATATTTCGTAATACATAAAAGTTTGACGAAATGAATAGAATAGTCTAGTGCTGTGCGGATGATTATCCAAATGTTCATGAAAAAGATGCATTATTGTTCTAAAGTTAATTCAAGGTTACACAGTTAACAGTTATATAATGAAATTATTTCCTGTGATTGAATCCAAAACTTTACAATTATCAAAATGTTAGCTCAAAATTCATGCTGCTATGTTCCACTCCTTTTTAAGTATTATAAGAAGGTTCCACAGGAGTATTATCAATGTTTGAAATTATTATCTACACAAGCAACGAAACAATCTTTATCAACTGAGGGTCCTTTGTCTGAGTATACCCAAAGAGTATCAAGTGGAGAATTGAGTGAAGATTCACATCAGGAAGAAGTAATACAACATTTGCAACAAGTTTATCATGAAGTTACTTCTTTTGTGCGACCCGCTCCGCAAAGCCAAAGTGGACGATCTCTATTTAGCTTCTTTAAGAAGCCTCAACCTCAGAAAATAATTGCACCAAAAGGGTTATACTTATATGGGAGTGTTGGAGGAGGGAAGACCATGCTAATGGACTTATTCTATGAGACAGTGCCGGTAAACTTTGATATATATTAGTACTTTTTACTTCACATATTTAAAATCAATGTTACATTGTGTTGCCCAATTTTTAAGTCAATTTTAGTTTAAATATTGGTATTTTTTCAAATTTGCAGATAAAGGAAAAATTACGAGTCCATTTTAATTCTTTCATGTTAAATATTCATGCGAGAATTCATGAGTTGAAAATAAAATCAGGGAAAGGTGCCAGTTCATTCCGTGATGAGGGATCTAAGCCGTTTGATCCAATACCACCAGTCGCTGCAGATATAACTCAGGAATCATGGCTAATTTGTTTTGATGAGTTTCAAGTAAGTAGACTAAATAGTATACACTATGGCAGTCTCTTGTTTACCTTTAAAAACTAGTAAATCTCTTTTTGTTTTATAAAATGTTTTTGCTTTAAATATAAAAATCATGTGTTAAAGACAGTTTTAAGTTAGGAAACAAAAATATTTGGTGGCTGATACATTTATAAAGAAGTATGTAATAAGTAATGTAATTTGCAAATATCATCAACCTTCAATAAGTTATGCAAACCACATGAACCTGATCCATTTTAGATTAATATACTACTAATTTCTTTTCTAATTGAATTTGGTTACGTCTGGTGCTCTCTGTATGTACCTAATTACATATGCATGCATGTGTGTACTGGATATACCTGACTATCTTCACAAATATGTTACTTTTTTAATATAAAATATTAGACGAAGTACCTATTTATGTAGCTGACTGTACTGTATGATTAACATGAAGCAGTCACACTTAATTGTTAGTAAAATTTATAAAAGTGAAGACTTGTAATTAGTTTTTTAATACCATTCTACCGTAAATTTGTTGATGTAGCTATAAGCTTCCATAGAAGAAATAATCAAATAAATAATAATATCTGCAACATACATTTGCATGTATTTAAAAAAAATAATCTAATTTTTGTAGGTGACAGACATTGGTGATGCCATGATTTTAAAACGCTTATTCACTCAGTTATTTGACAATGGCTGTGTTGTGATAGCAACTAGTAATAGAAAGCCTGATGATCTGTACAAGAATGGATTGCAAAGATCTAACTTTTTACCATTTATACCTATTCTGAAAGCTCATTGTAATGTAGTACAATTAGATTCTGGTGTAGATTACAGGTTGAAGGGAAGTGGCAATAAATATAGCAAATATTTTCTGTAAGTATAAAATATTCAATAATTTCTTGGAATATAGAAAGTAAATGTCTGCTATACAGGGTTATGCAGCTGAGAGCAATCAACTTGTGTTATTTGGGTGACTGGTTTCTTTTTGCTGTATTGCTTTAATTTTACCTAATACTATTTGGTTTTTCAGTAAAAAAAACTTATGATCTACATGGATGATTTCAAAATACTTTCTCAGGGTCAATTTTCAATGAAACAGTTTGAATTTCCTTGTTTTTATAAAAAAAAAATTTTTTATTTCAGAAATAGTGAGCTCACTCCAGATAATAATGCAGTAGATAATTTATTTAAATTTTTAGTATCTAAGGAAACAGATACAGTAAGGCCTAGAGTTATTAATATTTTAGGCAGAAATGTTAAGTTTGCTAAATCCTGTGGAAGAGTTTTGGATTCTACTTTTGAGGAGCTATGTGATAGAGTGAGTGTTTGTTTTAAATAGATAAACATATAACTATGTAGCTACAATCAATCATGATACTGTCTAGTTAAGATTGTTAAAACCTACAATTAGCCAAAAAAGGCTAACATTTATAGTAGCAGCACGCTATGATGGCTGTTTTGACATATTACAATAGTGATGTGAAATGTCAATTTATTCTCGAAAAAAATATAATGAAATCTATGTTTTTATTGCAAGTTGTACCCTATTAAAAAGGTTTAATAAAACAAAAATATAAATGCTTACTTAATATATTTGAACGATCTGAATATTGGAATGAAAATGAATATAGGTACATACTTTATATGCACACAAGAAACAAATTAATAAAAAAAGAGACCAAAAAAGGGTCAACAGTACTGCAGTATCAATATCCGAAATCCAAAGCCAAGTCAAAACTATATCACAATCACAGTGAACTCACACTTTGTACTGCTTTGTTTTGCGTAGAGCATTCACGCGAGTTTGCCGGAGGTAGTAGTTGTGTGGCCAGCGATCCTATGTGACGATCGTATTAAATTTCATTTTTTTTTTAATTTTGAATATCGAAAAGCAAATGCCGAGTTGTGTGGTAAATAAGTAAGTAAAGAACAATGGCAGAAACATATTTACCTAAAACTGAAGCGTTTAAAAAATTGACTAACAGTAAACTTACTAAATATTTTTTCTATGATTTATCATTATACCACCATGTGTTGTTATAAGTCTAATAAGAGATTGGATATTTTAAAGATTTTATTTGACCTAAGTACGTAATGTCAGAATCGCCATCACGAACTGACTAGAGATGCGTGATGACATTATTATATTATGGAACGTTTTATCGATAAGCGATTGTTATAACTTTGGCTTAAATATCTATCGAAGGTTTCACCTATTATGATTATGAATTTGCTTCTGCCTACGGGTTTACTCATACGCTACCGTAACTAGTACTGTAGTGACTAAATCAACCTAATTAGAAATAATTTAGAATTTTTTGACTCTTTTTAAAAGATTTTTGCTACACCAAAATAAATAGAATATAGTTACGTTATTTTCCTACAGAAAAATACTAAAACAATATACTGCTTAGTGTGATGAGAAAAAGACATTGTAGGTTGATAACGGCATATAAATAGACATGCATCGATATTTTTAAAATGTCGATACGTCGTCGTCGCACTTACTATAACCCGGCAATCTCGTGCGCGACCGTCCCGCGGGGTGACAGACAGTGGCGGGGGCGAGGTAGCGCGTCATTCTAGCACACGGCTACACACCGCTACACCACCCGCTACCCGCTGACATCGTGAGTACCTCGTCCCCGCCACCGTCTGTCACCCCGCAGGACGGTGGCGCACGACGTTGACGGACTATAGTCTTGTCGTTTGACACTTACACGCATGACTTACATACCATTTCTCACAAGGCAATTGTAGTTTATTTGGTTGTTTTACTTTTGTTTAGTATTAAACTCTCACATATGTTTATTTTAATTTTATATAGTGTTACTCCATTATGCATGATGTGATGCCTTAAAATGTTGTGCATTAATCTCAATATAATGGATGCATGCTTTAGATTTTAGTAAATAATGTCACAACTACGGACTGTTGAATAACTAAATAATAAAATAAATGCTCCCGCCTTGTGTAAATGTGTATTGAAGTACATTTATTCAAATGATTATTAATAATTTATGTATTTATGGCTAGTATTACACCTGCTATGTAAGCGAAGATTTTTTTCTATTGTTTACCAATACATGCCAAGCAAATACCTTTCCTTCCTTCACCCATTTAGAGAGTCGGCTAACACTTTCTACAGCAAAATAGGGTTGCTTATAAGTAATAATAATGATGAATAATATTTTCGAATATATGACACACAACGCCATCTAGTTTCAAACAAAACATTTACAATATTTTAGTACTTAACCTCGAAACATTCAAAATCCAATATCTTTTTTCCTAGACTTCTTTCGCTAGTAATTTTTTATGAGAATGTCCAAGAATAAATTCTCAAGGGTTATAGGCATTTTTGATATTTAAACGCTGTCATTTCACTTCAAATAAAATTATGTATGGGGACCTGCCATTGTCCTTTTATGACTAACAGCACGTCACTATTGACAATAAAGAACAGCAATTTGCTCCTTCAAATGTAATTACTAATTAATACGAAACTTCATGAGTGGACAAACGTCAAAACGGCCATCATAGCGTGCGGGTAGTGTAGTAATCATATCATAGTATATAAGATTATCAGGACATTGCAATACTTTGCAGCTACATCCCAGAGACTTGAGTCGCTATAAAACCGAAAAATATATTTAAAAATATGTCATATAATCTCTAAATGTGTTTATTTAATTTATGGTCATCTTTAAGGATTGATTGAATAAATTGAAGAATTGAAGAGAAACAGAAGTAGACGAAAGTTGTAACCACAACGCATTTCCTAACATTGATTTCATTTGCCGTTAAAATAAATATAACCAAAAAGTTATTACAAGCTTCGTAAAATTGAGTTGCATGACCAGAAATCTAACTTACATTATGCATAGCACTATGCTACAAGGTCATCAACAAACATATTTTAAAGTTAAATATTTGATGTTTTTTAGCCGCTTGGAGCCAGCGATTACCTAGTAATATCAAAAACATTTCACACTGTGTTCATTAGAAACCTGCCGCAATTGTCAATTACAAAGCACAGGTCTCAACTGAGAAGATTTATTACACTTATTGACACCTTATACGACAATCGAGTGAGAGTAAGTCACTAAACGAAATCAAATCAACTAATTGAAATCAAAGATTTTTGTACATTTAATTCGTTTATATTATTACAGGTAGTTATAGTTGCAGACTGTGAGCCGAAAATGTTATTCAAATCTGACGAAAAAACTGAAATTGAAGATGTCGAAAGAGCGCTTATGGATGATTTGAAAATTACTAAAGATTCCGTAAGTCCAAACTTATATTTATATATTCCATTAAAATGTATTCCACTGGTGCATGCAATAATTGTTTATATAAATTTTACAGGAAGATGCTAAAGCAGCCATTTTTACGGGTGAGGAAGAAATGTTTGCGGTGGACCGTAGTCTTTCTCGAATAATGGAAATGCAAACGGATGAGTATTGGGAAAAGTGGGGCAAACAAATCAACTAGTATATACTGTATTTTGACAAAGAAGTCTAATGCAAACGGGCTACTTCCGATGTCTAAACCGTTGTGAGCTCATACTTTGCAAAACCCATCACTTCGTTGAAATTCAACTTCGTACAATGATCATTATGCTAATTGCGATTGCAAAATTAGTGAAATGGATCACTTAAAAATGAAACAAGCATGTGTAGTGTTCTTCACTCATCTTAAGTTTGTTGGAATTCTATAAGCTTGTTAGAGAGTCGAGTATTACGTGTGTAGATATTTTATTGCGTATTCGTACGAAATCATTTAGATTTAGGCACAGATAGTGTTGTTTTTCGAAATTGACAACAAACTTTTTACACAAGAGAGGTGACATGAATTTGTTCTAATATAATTTGAGAAATTCCAATATAGTAAAATGTGTTATTTTAATGTGTATACAGTATACTTTCATCATTTAACGAGCCCTAGTTAAAATTGATCTTAAACGTTCAATTTGCGGTGCAATCTTTATCGCACAACCATAAAAAATGCCGTAAATCTTGCTTTTCGGACCGTAACATTAAAAGTTTAACAATCAATTAGAATTTAGCTAGGAATAATACCAATTATACTTAGGATCCGAAGATTAACAAACGTTGGTGCCATATGTTTTAATTTTAGACATTAATTCTGAAGGGATATTTAGTAACTATGTACCTATGCTTATGGCTGGTTTACACAATACAAGTAGAAACTGCATCTAATTCAGCAGATGTATTATAGTTACAAAACAAAACGATCAAAATATTAATGCCGTCGACAGTAGATCCAATTTTTAAGGAATGACTTGATTAGAATATCTGCACTTAGTATGACCTATGTTTGCTTCGTGATGGTTATGGGTGGATGGGTATTATTCGCAATATTACGTTCAATAAAGTACCTAATAGTTATACATGTAATGTAATCTAAAGAAGGTACTTTAACATAATACATACACGTCAAGCAGTATTAACAGCATTCTCATGTTATTCAAATGTTTCCATTTTGTGTTCTAATTTAGATTTTATTATGTAAATGTAGTTAGTTTAATAAAAATATATTTATAGTAATTTATTGTTTAAAATTAAAGGAACTGACATTTATAATAAAATGTTTTTTAATTCTAAACTATTAACCTTTGGCTACCATTAAGCTGAGGACAAGTGGCGGCCGTAGTCATTGTATGGCCCTGGGCAGGTAGATCATTGCGAGGCACCAGGCTTTGTAGAATTAGTATTAATGATAATACTTGAAATAAAAAAATGCAACGCAACACATACTGCTTCTCGAACATAAAATCATAAGCCGGCGGAATGAAACACCAAGTATCCCCGAACTTAAATCGCGAGACGTTAGTTTTATAATGTGAGGCGTAAAACGCGAAATTTAAAGAAACTTTTTCTACTTGGCTCCTGCATGAGCGAGGCCCTGGGCGGTTGCCCTGCTCGCCACCCACAAAAGCCGACCCCGACAACACAGCGAATATGGTAAATCCGAAAACGATCGACACTGATTTTTCCCACAATAATAATAATTATCTAATAATTGTCTATCCATAGAGTTTCTATAAGAATCGAATATAAATTGATTATAGTACTGAATGTTTTCCCCTTTAAATAACGAATGCGAATAAAACCTTAATTAAAAGCTTATTTTCATAATGCTCTAACGTCACAAATCGATCTTTTTATAATTATGATACATTAATTTTGTTTGTGAGCCTGCTGGCGGGTGGTGTAGAAATACGATCTGCCAATCAGCCTATATCTCATAAAGTCTACAGTTATATCTTTAGTACATATTTATCTTTTATAGTATTTATTTATTTTTTAGGGTTCAGGACTGTATTATCCCTAACTCAGGCTATTATGTAGCCTAGCTGGGAAAACAGCACTCAACCACGATATTATCGTATTGTAGATTTTTAGTAGGTTTTCTTTTTTTTAATTATAATAGGTATCTGATGATGAAGCTGAAAAATATTTTTCTGTAGGTAGATGATTCTTCTGAACATGTAAGTTATAGTTCCTTGACAGAGACTCTGGGTGATCAATTATGGCAAACATTGCCCGTTCAATCTCGTCTTTTTTTTAATGTTTGTCATATAAATGAGCAGTGTCCCAAGTTATTTTAGCGATTTAACCGAGAGGGTAAGGGAATCAACGTAACACGACAGAAATCTTCGCTCAGAAAATAATCTGTTTCTGTTATGTCCCTCCCACAACTCCGACTTCGTAAACTCTTAGTTCTTTGTTCAAGCAGTACTACTCTGGAATGCAATCCCGCTCGAAAACAGGCTGTCCACTAACCGTTTTATAAGTATTAGGTCCTTACATATGAAATTGGCGTTTTGTACGGGTGGAATATAAAGTCATTTTTTTCTGTTTTTACTTTACTAAAATAACCATGGGGGCGAGAATCAATAAACTCTTTGAAGGCGGTTTGGACTGCGGCATCGGAGTTGAATTTTTTTCCTTGTAAGAAGTTGTCCAAATTCCGGAAAAAATGGTAATCTATTGGAGCAAGGTCCAGGGAGTACGGTGGATGTCGTAGACATTCCAATTGTAGCTCATCTAACTTAGTGGTTGTGCAGTGTGTGGTCTTGCGCTGTCGTGAAGCGGCAGTGGCCTAGAGCGATTGACCAATCTCGGTTGTTTAGCAGCTAGTTCTTCCTTCATGGTTTGCAGTTGCTGACAATAGATATCTGCCGTAATCGTTTGGCCAGATTTTAGAAAGCTGTAGTGAACGACACCACGCTAGTCCACCAAACACTCACAAATAACTTTTTCTGAGTCAATTTTCGTTTAGGGCAGGATTTGGGTGGGTCTCGAACCCTGGAGTTCAGCCATTGCGACGAGCGCTTCCGATTATCGTACAGTATCCACTTTTCATCATTTGATTTAAAATCCCTTCATTATTGTGTCGGTTGAGCAAAGTAACACAGCAGTCGACGCGTGTTTGCAAGTTCGATTCACTCGATTCATGAGGTACCCATCGTTCAAGTTTTTTACTTTCCCGATTTGCTTAAGTGGATTAATACAGTTTTATCACTTACCCCGAAGCCTGCAGCTATCTCTGAAGTGCTTTGTAATGGATCCGCTTTCACAATAGCCTTTAATTCTTCATTTTCCACTTTGGTCTCCAGCCGTCCACGGGGTTGGCTCTGAAGGTCGAAATCAAGAACGAAAACGTTGAAACCAAAAAAGTTTCCAGTTTCCAGTTTTCCATTGTGCGGTAATAAGCGACGCCAAGCGACGAAAAAACAAATGAATGACTGTTTTCAAAACTCAAATGTACCAGCTAAATGAATTTATAAATTTGAATTTGGAATTCTTAACCAAAGATGAGATATTTCAGATCAAAATGGCCAGTGCAACAAAATGCTAATTTCATATGTAAGGACCTAATATTAAAAAAGAAGGTGCATGATCTCCTTCTTAATAAAATGGCAGAACTACCCAGTCACCTTATATTCCGGTACACATAGTGTACGAATATAATATGTGTATTTATAAATGTTTTTATATATGTACTCGTATGTTTATGATGTGATGTGTCGTTTATGTGTACGTATACGCATATCTATGTAGTGAACCGTGTGTATTTTCATTAATTACATGTCATAATATGTAACCTCTGTGCACCTACGTTATATGATTTCTACACCACCCAAAGGTTGTCTGGAAGAGAATGCCTTGGGCATTAAGTCCGCCGATGTACAAAAGTGCACAAAGTTAGAAATAAATAAATAAAACCTGCTAATGTTACCGAGCAAAGGTTATTGCATATTGGTGGAAATATGTAGCATTCCAAATAGTTTTAGATAGTTTCTTTATTGCTGGCCGCCTGCCTGTAAAAATGTAACCGTTTTCAGACAGGACCATAGAAGAATGTAAATTAGGGTAAACAAAACGCATGGGACGAGGAATACCGCAAATGTGAGATGGGGAATCTACCCTGTATATCTGTCCTGTAATTTGACAAGGATGCCCTAGGACACTGATACTACCCGTCCAAATTTTATGTAAATGATAATAAATGATTTAGACAAACACTTTATTTGCATCTGATTGATTGATTGTACCTATATGTTTTTATTGAACACCTATCTAATCGTACATGTGGCTGTAATATTCCTGGTATACTTGTATGTAAGTTTCTTTCTCTGAGGGCGTCATTTGTGCGATGACATCATCGTCAACGCTTGTTAGTGGAACAGTTTTGCCGTTGACCAGTACCGTGGGCGCGTTGTCATCACTGTCTGAATCTTCACTTTCCATCTCGGCTGAAAAATGTTACACACTGAGTTTAAGCGTCTATATACTAGATAACATTTTTCAACATTTGATTTTGCCGATAAAAGAACTTATTTATGTATTTTACACGTTATAGTAATTTATATGAAAATGGGAATAGTCTATCTATAGGTGACTTTACGTTGTAATATTATTAATTCCAGTAGGTACATTTTCAGATAAAATCATCGATTAATGCCATGGTATCTATAGGAGTGCTTTTTTCTTAACATCGTCATACCTAAACTTTGTTTTCGTTACATTCATAACAATATAATCAATTACACGGAATTCTGTTGATGATGTCAGCAAAGTCTGAGTTTGTTGTTGTTTTTAACCTTCAAAAAAGGAGTTTTTTACTTAAATTTTTACATGTATGTTATGTATATCCTTTGTTACTAACGGACCACTCAATTCATCTGCCTAGTGGGTCGGTTAGGAATTTTACTGGATAGATGGCCTAATATTTCTGTTTTAGTTTGAAACGGTTGAACAGTTTAGTTGGTCTAAGCAGGTCAAGATCATAGAGATATTGACGAAACTGTTCAAAAATTATACGCACACCTGATTTGGATGTTTTTAAAACATTTATATATTTACTGTCGAAAAGCACTATTTGGTGAAGCGGTACTAACGATAAAGGCTACAAATTCAATGAGAGTTATATCACGTGTTGGGATTTCAGAACTTTAATATGAATGGTCAGCAATTTACACTGGTCACAATACATAAGTACTGAAGAACCAGAAGAACTCCACAATGTTGTTCCCTTCATCAGTAAAAAGCAATATTTTGTAAAGTTTAAAAGTATTTGACGTTAGGCTATTGAAATATAAACAAATGATACCTCTAAGAGTGAAAAATAAATAATATACAGGTTATAAGACAATATTATGATTTAAGCACTTAAAGTGAGTTAAGTACCATTCCTTTTAAAGATAAGCCATATGCGATTCATTCAATTATTACTATAATGAGACATATATATGTATATTTTGTGTGTAATCTGTAATACACGCATTACGAGAATTAATAATAATAAAACCTCACGCATCTCACATACGGGCGTCTGATTCCAAACTAAATAGAGCCTGTACTACGGTAACCAAACTGCTGATAAACTTACTTATATATTTCTAAATACATACATAAGATAAATTACACCCAGACTCAAAACAAACGATCGTGCTCATCACGCAAATATTTGTCCTGATGGGAATCGAACCGACGACCTCCAGCAGTCAACAGCAACAGGGTCGTTATTTCAGAGTTATTATGTAAGATTATATACTAAAATAATTATATAACTCAATTCGTTCCACGAGTTGATAGAACCATTGTCTGTTTTGTTATGGTATAGGGGGACAAACGAGCAGACGCGTCACCTGATGGTAAGTGACTATAGTCGACGGTTGACACCTGGTACTCAAAAGTTGACTCAGCCCTCCACCCCCTCAAAGTCAGGGGAGGGGATGGTCTCCGTAACCGTATTAAGAAAGTGTTCCTTAAATACTTACCGACTGTAGCCAGTTCATCTTTGAGTTTGAACGGATCTTTGGACTCATTGTCACTGGAATCTGAACTCTCAGGCTCGATTCCTTTCAGCGCGTTTGATGCAGCATTGCCTGAAAAATGCCAATTTAGTAACCTACCATTTAAATATGTATACAGCCAACTCAACTATCCGAAATGTTAAATTAGTTTTAAGTAGGTGTATGTAATTAACCGACTTAAAAAACAGATGAGGTGAAAACCTTAATCGGTCGTCTTTTTTTTGTTTGTTACCGCAGAACTCCTATTATACCACAATACCACTATTTATGAACCGATTATGAAAATCCTTGGTTCTATTGTGAGGTTACACTTCCCGTTTGATCCCATTCCAATTTGAAAGAAAAATACTACCCCTAAGGATGGTCATTTCAGGAATGATGTAAATAGTTTATTATAATTCATCACGATGCAGGCGGTTTGAAGTCAGTAATACTTTTTTATGTAATTAAGGGTCATATATTATTTCCCTACTGATATAATAAATGCGAAAGTAATTTTGTCTGTCTGAATCGATTTTAATGTTTGGCATGGAAATACTTTGATTCTTGAGGAGGGACATGTCTTACTTGTAACTGCGATAACCGACATACGGACATAGCGCCGCGGGAAAAAGTTAGTAAGTAATAATTTATAATACTTAATATTTTATAATCATAGTTTTAATATTTGTTCACCTGTGTTTTGTTTCTCGTGAGCAAGTAGAACAGACATGATGTCATCGTTCTTCTCTTTGCCAACATTCTTCGCGGTACTAGCGTTACTGGCCGCTTTCTCCAATGCCACGTCCGTTGAATGAACACTATCGCTCTGTAAAATAGTCGTAATAAAAAGTAATTAATACGTTCAAAATTCAGTTTCGATCTCACAATTATCATTAAAGATATTCTCCAAATCAAGTACAATACAGTCTTCAAAGACCAAAATGATGTATACTATCGTGGATTTAGAAATAACATTTTATACTTACTTGATCGTTGGTAACGATAGTGCTCTCCACCATCCATACCGGTCGTTCCTTTCTCTGCGCGCTTGCATCGTTGGCATTATCCGACTCACCAATGGTAACATCGACCCTGGTTTCCTCAACCAGCATGCCTTGGTTGCGAGTTGCTTCACCCGACCATTGCTCGCCTGACGGACGTAGGGCTAGCTGTTTTGAGTTCAATCTGGAAACACATTGATTACATTTAAACTTACTGTCATTGTACAAATTTTGACTACTATAACAGGTCAACATTATACACCGGATCTATGCGGCCTTTGGGGATGATTTAATTATTAAAGTACCTACAATTTAAAGTACAGTTTAAAGTTTTAGCTTTATGAACTTCTTTAATGAAAGTGTTTAAGGTATTCCAACTTAAACATTCCTGCGTGCAAAAATTTGTTAAAAAGAGGTACAAAGTATTCTCTTCTCATCATTATAATATCATATAAAAATGTTTAAATAAAAGTAAGTTAATAGATATCCCAACACGAGAAGCATTTGTGTATTTACCCTCGAATAGTATTGATATCCACAGGTTCCGGTTCTAATATCTCTGGTGCCAATTTGATACCTTCCACTTCTCGAAGTAATATATATAGCGTTTCTAGTTGTTCGTTGAACTTGGCTAATAGAAGTCTCGAGTCTTTCTTTGGGAGTGCCGATTGGTCTTCTTCGACGACTTGGTTACAAAATGTACAGCGGAACTCTTGAGTCATCATGTCATATAGCTGATCCGCCTGTAATATTAAATAAAAAACTTAAAACACTTTTTAAAAACACCTTTTAAAAAAAAGGTTATCTATGAATTTGCCACGTTTGTTTAGACTGCACAAAACAGTACCTATCTAATGATCTCATCTGGTTATTGTGACGTCAGTGGACAGATACTTTTAAAACTTATATTATTCAAGAATAATCACGTCTATGTAAATAAACTACAAACATTAAAGTTATTTTGTACAATTTCACATATCTTAAGTGACCTATTACTTGGAACTATATGAGACAGTTAATAATATTAAGGAAATAAATAAAAATATACTTGGATGGCGTATAGTGTTTTTAAATTGAATAGAAAGGAGCTAAGTAAGGATGCACTAATGGGCAGTTCAACTTTCGAACCTAAACCCTACCATGCAAAGTTTTACTGGAATTAATGGAAAGATTTTGATTGAAGAACAAAATTCGATTTTCCTGAAAAGGGGGTCTTGATGATACCAATTCCATTCCGCAGTACTTTGTGACTAATACGAGTACGATAATTCTTCCATCTCGGAAAATAATTCTCTGAGATTGAGATCGGATTAATAGATAACTTATCTTTGCCCTTCCAAAAATACTCTCCGATACGTAAAGGATAATTTTCCTAGCGCAAAATATATGTTTATGATTGCAAAAATACATTTTTACGTGATATAACAAAAATGACAATGGTTTATAAGCACTGGAGGAGGTTGGAGGTTCCATCGATCCGGAAGGGTTTTGTGGAATCTTCATTCATGGCCCATCAGCTTTTCTTAAAGGTTGCAAGAGTCTTTTCTGGGGGTACGCGTTACGAACCTGCATAGTTTTAGTTTAAAGTCAGTCTGGTAACGGCAGACTGGTCTATATTAGGCCCCACAATAGGGGTTTAAATGTAATTACGTGACTCTTATGACCTTTCACTTAGGTCACTAGGGTCTAGGGTCATCTCATCTCTGTTCTTACAGTGTCTTGTTTTTTTCATTATGGTTTTTTTTTGTATACCATTGACATTCGAAAGTGCACTGTAACAACACCTACTCAATAAAAAAATTGTTTGAGCCTTATTTCATGATTCTTGGTCTATGGGAAGTACCTAAAGTTTAGTTAACCTATCGATAGGTTTTACCAACATAGGAACAACTAACTTTAAGAAGTTGGTTGCACTTATAACGCTCAAATGCGACGCAACTTTTGTAAAAATAACGAAAATGGGTCTAGATAGACAGACGAACTAAGGAGTGATTCTGTTAAGATTCCTATTTTTCCTATTTGGCAGTACCAATTTGGTACTTGATTTGGTATTTCCTATTTGGTACGAAACCCTAAAATACAGTGAATGCCAACTGATTCATCAAAACATTGGGTGAAAAAATATAAACATTCGTGACAAATACCCAATATGAGCGATGAGTTAATATTAATAGTTAACAGACACTTACTTCGAGATCTGTAAAAGTTTTCCCACAAGAGGGACATTTAAAACTAGCACGACTTGTAGCGTCGCGTTCTTCTGTTTCCATGCGTTTGCGCATTAAATCTAATTTGTATTTAACTACGTTCACAAATGTCTTGTAATTAATGAAGTAGTAATTAACTTTCTGTGCCTTGCCATCAGGACCTAAAATTGATAAAGTTACACAGTTAAAGAACCGTCAAGAAATATTAATCAGTTACACGAAATGTTTTTTATCAGACCATCAAGATAGTAAAATAAAAAAGAAACAAGACAAAGTTTTAACTAAGGTTTGGCATTAAGAAAATAAGTTTAAGACTCACTAAAGGTTCAATGATATTGGTTGATAGGTAATTGTTTTCTATTAAAAAATTAAAAGCGATAAAATAAAGTATTTTATCGCTTTTATCTGATATTATTGCAAAATTTTGTGCCATAAGGGCACTCTTATCTATTATAACATGAAGAACCAAATCTGTGAAGATAGCTTGATGTTTTAAATAAATGAGATCTTAAAGTACGTTATCTATATAATTGTTTATTAAATAAGTTATTTTTAAATAAAAAAGAAAAACAGGAACAAAAAAGCAAAAAATAGTTGGTATTTACACATGATTGCCTACCCTATAAATCAAATTTATATTACCATTCCAGTACAAAAATCAACTAAACTAAACAGTCACTTATCTATAAACAGTGATCTTAATTACTATAACTAAGATAAACTATTTTAATACCTAATTACAATTTATAATTTTCTATTTACACAATTACAATGTGACAATTCTTGTCCAAGAGCCGGTTTTTCAATCCTCAGTTATACTGTCAGACAACTAACTTGGGAATAAATTTATCTTGCTGTTTATCAAGCGAATAAACTTTTCTGTTTTTTCAATCGGGTGTAAACAGACTGATATGCAGCTACAGTTACATATTAAATACAGTTAGTAACACGTTCGATAAGGATCAAAAGCTATTAGACAACATTTGTTTCATTCTTTTCTTGTCATTGCTTCTTCCAGATAAGACAACCTTATTGACCGTGTTAGTGACTAGGGATGGAATGAAATCGCAATCACATGTGATAAATCATATCGTCACTCCTGTGCCTACGCTAGCGCAAGACTTGCGAAAGGTTTGAATCCAAAAAAAGTCGTAATCATTGATAAAAAGACTTGATTGATTTTAGTGCCATTTATCTTTGTCTATGACGAAATCACAATCACATGTGAAATCGCTGTGACCAAAACTAATCATTTCCTCAAATGAATATGATTTAAAAGGTTCAATAATTTCCATGTCTAGTAGTGAACGATGGTGTAGTGGTATGTCTAACGGACTGCTACTCGAAAGGTAGCGGGTTCGATTCCCGGTCTATTCAAACATTTGTTTTATTTAAGCGTACCTACACATGTGTTTATTACAATTTAATTTTTAAATTTTGTCTAGGTATTTCTATGGGTGCGGGTGAGGAGGGCGGGGGCGCAGTGGTCTCTTTCTGTGAAGCTGTAATGCTCCAGAAAGAGACCGCTGAACGGGATCGGGAGAGGGCCGATCCCGAGCGAAGAAGACGTCGGCGGCGGAATGAGCAGTCGACGGGACCGCGTGCCGCCAGAGAGTGGGGACCTCTGGTAGCAGGTCTTTTTGGCTAGTTCGACGTGCGACGTCGATCTGGGGGGACCTGAAATGACATGGCCCGGGTTCTCCCTAGAGCAGGGCGCCTAAGGCTGGCGTCGGAGTGGTTTTTAGTGGCATCACCACATACTCCTGGCTCCTATATCCCCAATGAGCCGGAGATCCGAAGCGATTTTCCACTCCGTCAACAAAAAAAAAAGGTTTCTATGGGTTTTTTTTATAAAATAGTATGTTATATCAGTTGTCTAGTACCCATAATGCAAGCTCTGAGTTTTTATGCAGATTTTGTTAATTAATAAAGACCAACCAGATCAATTACGTGCGCAAACTTATCAACTACTTAATAAAGCATTCAAAACAATAATATCATTGGAGATGTGTGTAACCCACTTTAGCTCATTAAGCATGTTTTGCGAAGCATGAAGACTGTTGCAGCTGCCGCGATACATTCTACCAAGCCCATCAAGCACCTATCTGCCTGGCACAGACTTCAAACAGACTAGACTACTACTACTAGACTAGACGGTGCATACTCCGACTTGAAATTCGTAAATGCTGGTGTCCCACAAGGCTGTGTACTATCACCCACACTGTTTCTTTTTCATATCAATGACATGTTGCAAACTAGTAGCATCCATTGCTATGCAGATGATAGCACAGGAGATGCCCTTTATACCGGCCGCCCCAATATTTCTCGGGAAAACGTCATCAAGAGTCGAAACAAACTTGTGTCTGAAATTGAAACTTTCTTAGCGGAGGTTTCAGATTGGGGCTGACTAAATCTAGTCCAGTTTAACCCAAAAAAGACACAGGTATATGCGTTCCTCGCATAAAAGATACCATTTGTCGTATCGCCTTAGTTTGAGAGCACCTCCCTAACGGTGTCAGCCAGCATCGGAATCCTAGGCATCGACATATCGAGCGAAGTCCAGTTTCGGGGTCACTTAGAGGGTAAGGTTAAATTGGCTTCGAAGAAGCTCGGTGTCCTGAACAGATCGAGGCAGTATTTCACTCCGGCCTTTAGCTCTATACGTCGCAAGTCCGGCCGCATATGGAATACTGTTCTCATCTCTATGCAGAGGCACCTCAGTACCAGCTTCTCCCTCTGGACCGTATCCAACGAAGAGCGACTCGAATCGTCGATAGCCCAAACATCTCCGATCGGCTCGATCCCTTGGCGCTACGTAGAGATGTGACTTCACTCTGCATTCTCTATCGCATATATCATGGAGAGTGCTCCGAGGAATTGTTAGGACTAATACCAGCCGCAAATTTCCGCCATCGATCCACACGGCAAAAGTTTCATTCAGCAACGTGTTTGTGACTCCTGAGTTGCAGACGTTCATGGGCGGCAATAGTCACTTTCCATCAGGTGACCCGTCTGCTCGTCTGCCCCCTCTAACATAAAAAAAGACTACTTTTGCTATTATAATATTACCTGTTAAATTGAGGGTACATATTATAGGTTTTTTTGCTTAGATTTGTAATTATTAAAAAGTTAAACAATACTGATAAAGAGCAATAAAAATTAAAAGTCTATTTATTTTTTAGTGCTCTTTATCAGTATTGTTTGAAGTCGGTTAAACTTTTATTTAAAAGGATTTATGTTTATATTAGGCTTGCAACGAATATTCGGTTACTATTCGGTATTCGGCCTATTCGGCTGCTTTTATTATATTCGGCCGAATACCGAATATCTACATATTATTCGGCCGAATACCGAATACTTAAATAATATATCTTGTCATTGAGAAATAATTGGTAAAATGAAAAATTAAAAACGATTGATTACGTATATATTCATATTTTTATTTCTGTTATAATCATTTAAGTAGTCATTGGTGCATAACACAGGTACATAATCATCTTCTGAATTGGAAAAATGGAGGATTCTATGTATTTGAATTATTGTGGTAATCAAAATTTAGAAGGGTAAGGTTCTCATTTCTTTTATAATCATTTATTAAGTAGTCATTGGTACATAAAACAGGTACATAATTTAATTCACGTCTGTACAAGTTTTTGGCGCTAAAATCCAGCCGAATACTTTTGCCTAATATTCGGCTATTCGGTCAGGGGCCTCGCCGAATATTAAGTATTCGGTATACTGCCGAATATACTATTCGTTGCAAGTCTAGTTTATATGTAATATGGGTAGGCCAACTAAACGCACTGCTCCAATGAGCAGAGGTTTCGAAGTAAACGAAAACATGATCGATATTTACATTTTTTAGATTTTTGTTCAAATTTTAATAACCGCTCGACCGATTTCGATAAAATTTAAATGGTCCACTTTGAAACAAAACTTTTTTCAAATCGGTTCAGGCATCTTCGAGTAATCGGTGAACAAACATAAAAAAATCCTCCTGTTTTGAAGTCGGTTAATAAAGGCACTAATTGACATAAAACTACATGACTTATAAATATTTGGGAATGTCGTCAGACCAGACTTTATGCATAAGTGGAACTCCCATGGCATTGCTTTAATTTAGAAGATGGTATCCCATCCCAACCAACAGCACAATTGTTACGCAGCCGTAGGATGTGCTATTCGAGTTGACTGGTGGCAGGTAGGGCCTTTTCGTTGGAGTGGGTTTATTCATTATACACTGTGGCGGTATAGATATCACAAAAAATGAAATAACAGATAACACGGTTCAATATACGTCGGTTAAAATAAAAAAATAAAAAATTAGTACGAAAATACAGAAATGCAAATTTAGAACAAACTAAATACAATAAAATAATTTCCGAATTAGAACACCATTGATAACATGAGTCGGTGAACTGTACCTACACGGCAGCGTCGCAATGTCGGCGACATCAAAACGACGCCGCCGCCGGCGCCCGCCGCCGCCGCCGCCGCCGCCTTTCTTTACATTCTTATTACCTACCTACCAATCACTTCACTTGCTTTTAAAAATCTATTTATAAAGAATGCGATTTTATTCACGTGTTTATTTCGTGAATGTTCGACTAGCTTCCGACCCAGCAGTACGCGTCACTCCTTGAAAAAGTAGTTACCTTGGTTGTCTCGTAATCTTTGTACCGCCCTTACAAAAATTCGGCAGTCTGTAGGACATACACGATTGACTCCATACGTGTCCGTAAAGCAAAAGATGCGTTTTGATAGAGTTTTCCATAAATTAACATCATAGCAGGATATTCCGCGGCTGTGAAGGTCACTCACGGCATTATGGATGTTGATATCGATAACCCAATAAAATTAAAAGACTGATAATGCACTCAGTTTCACACTACACTACACACAGAACCTAATAGTGACTTTTCAAAATAAAATTAGCAGGACTCCTTACATTACGAAGTCTTGCGCACACGATAACATTAATTGTTCACACCATTGCCGTGTATTATGACGAAAGCAATAAGACTAAACAATTATTACCACAAGAAAACTTCTCTAAACAAATATGTATCTCATAAACAACAACAATATTATTATTACGGTTATTTGTCGTGAGCGCATCTACAAGGATACGGAATAGCATAAGCTCGCCGGTGGCCAAGGGCCGACTGACTGTCCTTACTGGATGAACTAATTAAAAACGCGTGTTGCATCGTGATGACGTAATAATCAACATATTTCGTTCGATTCGGGTGTAGTAAAAGCGGCAACGTGTGATTACCGCGCCGCGCCTACAGCTGATCGCCGCCTGAGGTCAATGTATTATGACTGCATGTACACATGATGTTGCAATTTACGAAACACAAAAATGAGTCCTGTGGCTAAACTACTAGATATATTTTGTTCATATTTTGCAAATCGCCTAGAAATTAAGGGTAGAATATGTGGCTTAAGTATTTGTGAAAGGAAATGAAACTCTCTGTATATTTGGGGCTATTATTGTTAACGCTAACATTTCCCCTATGTAAGAAAAATATTTGAAAACTTCAGTTACTGATGTCTGCGGATTGTCACACAACTTTAGTAACTCGCTTGAACTGTTACGTATTTTTCGAGAATTAGTTGTCTTTAGTAACTTGCCATAAAGTCTTGTTGTGTTTTTTGCTTTTTTTAATTCGAATTCGAATTGTTTTTATTTCTTTTAATGATGAATTACAGAAGTTTCGGTATCAAGTGGACTTTATTTTAAGTACAGGGTTGTCTGGTGTCTTTCTAGTTTCAAAACGATCACGATTAGCGTTACGCTTTGGGAGACCTGGTGTTTACAGCGGCTTTATTGTGTGTTTTTTAAGTATTTTAAAAATGGCCTATTATATTTTTAGGTTTACAAGTGGCCCGAATAAGACGGAGGCGCTCTTGTTTCAAGGGCTTCGTCGTGGTTCAGCCCCGACGCCGATGGCCAATTCGATTCTCGTACCGGTTCAAGCACAGATTAAGTATCTCCGCCTGATTCTTGATGGAAGGCGGCTCTTTGACGAGCACTTCTGAAGGCCCTTGCTTCATAGCTGGTTGGCGCTGCGTCTACCCTTTGGCGACTTTTGCCCAATTTAGGCGGACCCAGCGTCGCTATAAGACGGCTGTACATGTGTGTTGTCCGGTCAATGGCAGCGGCTCTAATCACCCACAACAGGCCACGCTTCTGGTGCCCTCAGAGGATATTGGCGGTTAGATCCATACGTGGTTATTACGTGGCACCTTGTCGATGGAGGCGGTTATTTGGAGTCAGAAGTCATCGCTGAAGTATACTGACGGACGGCCGAGTTCCATTCGGGCGCCCCCGCCCCAAGTACGCGTGTGGCGTGAGGCCGATCGCCGAGCCACGATGGCACATTAGTCGTCTCGGCCAGAAGCTCCATGTGCTGGCTTGTTTTGGCTTCGAGAGTAGCAGCACGGGACCCTTTCGTTTCGACAGACGCAGGTCCATTCCGGGCACGACTGTTTAGGGAAGTACCTGCAGTCGGTCGCTAGGAGGAGAACGGGACGGATCGAACGGGAGAACGGGACGGATCGAACGGGAGGACGACCTCCACTCCAAATATGCCGCCGGCGAACCAGGAGATGGGGGCACGCACACCAGCGTCTTATGCCGCCCTGAGTGTGGCTGGAGGTGGACGGGAAGGGTTTCCCCTACATCCGCAATAGTGGCCAACCGCGAGAGGGCGACGTCCGCGTGTAGTCTAATACTTTTTGTAGACATAAAGAGAATAAAAGCCTAACATCATTATACAGTATAAAAGTTATAAGCGTATAAAAGTCTAACATCATTATACATTACAGTATAAAAGATCAAATCTAGACACATGTGATCTGTGAATGTTGTAGTAGTTATTATGACGTCATAAAGGTATCGTCTGAGAAGCCGAAAACTATCGTTCTCTTGTTTTCTATGGGAGTGTAATGTGTACCTAAAAACTATAATTTTAAAGAAGAATGTCGTTTACAGTGCACGTTATCCACTCAATGCAAACAGCAAGCATTTTTATGATAATCTCTCCATAAATATTATGATAAAATGATATACCTGTTTCCATTTTTAATCGTACTTGGATAAATTTGTCATTTTTCAATGTGGCGATTCGAGCTCTTAACATCTTTCGCTCAAACTTTAATAGTTCGCATATGTCATCTTCTTTCATACCTGTAAATACGTTATCATGAGATGTTTCAATGCACAGTTATATCATTTATCTGTAAATAATAACTTATCTAATTGTACATACATGGATTTCTGACGAGCATGTCGACTATAAGGGCATCTTCTATTGTATAAAATCCCCTCACAACGAGACGTGCCAACTGCTTCAGACTGCTAGGCACTTCCGTCACTAACCGTTCTTCAGTCGCCATAGTACTGGTATACTTATGCTAGAAGAAAGATCAGAACTATAGAGGCAACCATAACATTAATGCTGTGTGCCTTAATCAAGCTCTGCATTAACGCACACTAGTTAACCATTTACTATTTATATAATTTGTATTGTTTTTCAATGATAACAAATTTCGGCAACTGTCGTAGTAATGGTTTTCTGTTGACTAACAATTGATATGAGTAAGTACCTATGTTATCAAAAACTTTTTATGATAAGAATGTAAGCAGACTGTAGACTGTTACTCTCTGAAAATAATCTAAAATTATGTATTTGCGTAATTACGCTAGCCACCCCACTTAGATTATTTTGTACTATAAATTAGACTTGCAACGAATAGTATATTCGGCAGTATACCGAATACCGAATATTCGGCGAGGCCCCTGACCGAATAGCCGAATATTAGGCAAAAGTATTCGGCTGGATTTTAGCGCCAAAAACTTGTACAGACGTGAATTAAATTATGTACCTGTTTTATGTACCAATGACTACTTAAAAAATGATTATAAAAGAAATGAGAACCTTACTCTTCTAAATTTTGATTACCACAATAATTCAAATACATAGAATCCTCCATTCTTCCAATTCAGAAGATGATTATGTACCTGTGTTATGCACCAATGACTACTTAAATGATTATAACAGAAATGAAAATATGAATATATACGTAATCAATCGATTTTAATTTTTCATTTTACCAATTATTTCTCAATGACAAAATATATTATTTAAGTATTCGGTATTCGGCCGAATAATATGTAGATATTCGGTATTCGGCCGAATATAATAAAAGCAGCCGAATATGCCGAATACCGAATAGTAACCGAATATTCGTTGCAAGTCTACTATAAATTAATTTAAGAAGGAATAAAACGTTAAGATACTTCATAAAAACAAATTTAATTATTTTCACTTAGATTATTAATCGAAAACTAACATTACATTACATTGTAATTAATAGTTACATAAATAAAAACATTCTAAAAATTAAACTTCAAAATGCCTATATATTAGCTGTCAGCATTATGAAAAATATTACAATTCACTCTTTTGTGTATATAGAACTTTTGATTGTTTGGCAGTATGTACATTTATTTACTTTGGACATATCACTATAAACATATATTGTTATCAATCACTAGGGAGACATTCAGTCCAATTTTTGTCAATTATATATCCTACTTCATAATCTTTTACCACTTCAAATATATATCAAGATATTCATTCCAGGTTTCGTTTTTAATTTATAATACACCAATTTCATAATAAAGATTCCACAGTTGATAAAAAAATCCAAATTTAGGAAGAATCAGAACAAGAATGTCTAAAATCAATAAGCACATTCATGTGATAGCATAAGAAAGGGTTTTGTGAAAGGATCATTTTATCTTAAATATTAAAACACAAATTATTAGCAAACAATTTTCAGTTACACACTATTAAAGTAAGGACAGCATTTTTTTGTCCCATCAACAATATTCCTAGAAATTAAGCTGCCTAACTTGAATGTGAAAGAACATTGTTTTACTGCATTTGGAAATTACATAATATGGCTAGCCTACTTATTTTAAATTATAATAATCGAGTTCTAACCAAAATCAGTCTTGGATTTAATAGTTGCAAAACGAAATATTAAATTAGTGTACCATTTACAAAATATGAACAAAATTAAAATCATTAATAATTTCTAGCAAATAGAAATTGACCCATAAATTCAATAACTTCTATGATAAGAACTGTTACAGTACAATAGTTAAATTATCTTACTATAACACTTCTAGACAGTTAACATATATAATTGGGATAACATATAAGTAACACTTGGCAGTGAATAAATTATTAGACTAAAATTATAGTACAAAAGTCATTCTACACTCTAGTAAATTAAAGGTATAGTCTGTTTTATTCTGTATGACTTCTTTCTAATATTAGTTGAATATTGTCCAATGTCTGATAGATAATTCTAAAGTTTGGTCGATCACTTGGACTGGTATTCCAGCACTGTTTCATTAGATCATAAACACATCTGGGTGTATTATCAGGGCAAGCAAGAACATTGCCGTCCTTGAGAAATCTGACCACCTCCTCATGTGTCATACCAAAGTATGGTTGTAGAGCAAAAGAGAAGATCTCCCACAAACATACTCCATAGGCCCATACATCTGATTCTAATGTGTACTTATTATACAAAATGCTTTCTAAAGGCATCCATCTCACTGGAATAGCATCATGCTCATCACCTTTATAGTAATCTTGTAAGTATATTTTGTGAGATAAACCAAAATCAGCAATTTTTACTACCATATCATCATTAATGAGACAATTTCTGGTAGCTAAGTCTCGGTGAACAAATTTCCTATCTGATAAATAAACCATGCCAGATGCTATTTGTCGGGCAATATGGAGGAGATCTTGATGGTGTAGAGGAGTGGCAAGTAGCCTAAGATCTTCCCTGTTCTCTACAGAAGGTTGAAAGTTTGTAGCAGTGCTACAAGCTCTTAAATACTCATTCAGATCACCTTTGGCCATGAATTCAAATAACAAACACATTGGTCTTCCAATAGCACAAACACCAAGCAGTTTTACAATATTTGGGTGATCAAAGTCTGCCAACAGACAAGCTTCTCTTTCAAAATCCAATTTTAAGTCATGGGAAGCCTCATCTTTAAGCATTTTAACAGCGACAAGAGTAAATTCTTCTTCAGGGATAAGTCCAGGTGCTCTAGCTTGAAAGACTCTTCCAAAAGCACCTTGACCCAAATCTCTGATATATATGATATTATTTCTTGGAAACTCTAGTTTCTCTAATTTGGGATTTAATTGTGCACCAGTGGTGTGATAGGCTAAATTACTAGGCAGTTTATCTAAATCAATGTCCATGTTTTGTACATTTCTCCGATTGGATACATTACATTTAGAGTAATGATTCTTAACAAAATAGTGACATAGTAAAGCTACTGAAGCTATTCCCAATACACATCCAAGGCCACCAATAGAGAGCAATAGGACAAATGTTGGGGTAAAATAATTCTCCATAATAATACTTGGTCCATTACTATTGTCAAATTCATCACTGGTGTTAGCACAAGACGGAATATCACAGTATTCCCATCTCACATCTGGATCCATAGTGTAACACCAAGGCTTGCGTTCTTCGCCTCCAGCATTTCTGCAATAATTACTAGAATTCTGTACTTCTGGAAACACTAATGGAGGTCTTGTATGTTGATGAGGAAATTGTGATTCCCAAGCTTGACATGCTAATCCAGTTTCTGTAGTATTCTTAGTACCTTGGTAGTAGCGGCCATTGTCTCTGTAACATATAGTCGTAATTTGACTTGTGTCCATGATGGTAGTGCCAACATTGTTGCAAGTCACTTGAGTACCTTTTCCTGCGAACTTTGGAAGGTTTTCACACTCAGGAAATCGAAAGTGTCCTCTGGATTCAAAGAAAACGCCTCGACGTTTCTGTTCTTCGATAACAATCCAATCGTTATAACAAAACTGCATTTTAACAGCCATACAGTCCTCATAACAAAGTGGTAATGCGAAATAACCAACCCCATCTTTATCAATGCACTTCGGGAATGCATATGCACATAATAACTTCTCAGCTCTACTACGGCAAGGCTCTTTTAGTTTTGATATCATTTCTTTCCATAATCCTGTTGTAATCTTCTCATTGTCAAAACCTCCTGTATGGTTATACCATACATATCCAGTTGAATAACTTTTACATATTTGTCCATTATATGGTCCACAGTAAAGATGCACAGATTTTATTAGAAGAAGCACAATAAGAACTTTATAACAAATGTCCATTGTTTTATCTTGGCTGACTCCAAAAATCGATGAGGGTAAAATTGTTTCGTCGCATTTTATTGTAAGGATAAATACATGTTATAAAAACACGATAGTTATACAATGGCGGACGTAGATATTTTATTATGTATTGATTTTAGCTCGGCAGTAGTGTATGAATGAACAATGATGACCAAACCAATTCAATATCGTCACAACACTCACACTCACAGTACTCTACAGATGTAACACGAGATAGTAAATTGTACGGAATAATACGAAAGTGACACAGTACGTCCATAAAATAACAAAAAGAAAGTATTATTGTAACTACACTTGATGTAAAATGATTTAATCACAATTTATGAGAAAAAATTTAAATTCATTCAAGTTCCTTGAAAGTAAAGTATTAATTAATCGATTGCGAGTTAGTAAGACAGTAGTAACCGAGGTTAATAAAATCTCAACTATGGCAACACAAGTTTAGTCTTCAAAGTTGGCAGCAAGATTGTCAAAATATTAGAAAAGATACGAACCGAGTTTATTTCATGTGAATGGCTGCTATTGAGAAAGTTAAAGTCGTCGTCCTTGGTGATTCTGGTAAATGAAATCTTATTAAATACGGGCGCACTTGTTATATGATTGTACGGGTAAATTTATCAAAAAGGCACTCAAATCACCGATCAACTTGTCGTTTGCCAACATGTCTGTGGCCATGACAGTTTTGAAGGTTAGCCAACATTCAAGTATTACAGTTTTGGCGGTAAACACGTGAGTGATTGTTTCAAAACAAATGTTTGACCAAAACAAATTAATAATAATAACAATGTTTATTGTCATACAATTTGTTTGACACCACAACTGTCATTGTGAAATACAACTAATGATTATTAAAAAAAATACATACAGTGGAACATAGAACCTCCTTTTTTGAAGTCGGTTAATAAATTATAAAATGTTAACGTTCAAGAAAGTTGCTAATTTTTTTATTCCATTTATATTTATTTATTTAAAAGTTCAGAAAGTACACTAGAGTGAATGCCTCATTTTTACTCTTCTCTAGGTGTAAAAAATCACATGTACTTTGGTGGGTAGGTGTATACATGGAGAACTAAAACCAGCCCGACAGCCGGCCTCAGGCGCTTCACTCAGGGGTGGACCGCAGGGACTATGCATGCATATGACTAGCATGTTTATTGCTATTAAAAAATTCTTGCAAAATATCTAGATGCACGGATATCTGGAAATGGGACCATACCATGAATCCTGTCAATTTTGACTATTGACTTAAGTTTTAAAAAGTAAACTTTTTATTTAATGCTCATCTGTACCGCCTCTGCATATTTTTGCATATATTTACAATTTTCGCTTTAAGAGTTGTTGATTGTCTTTCTTAATAATTTACTGCGGCAAGCTGCAGTACCTATTAAAGTTATTTGCCGTTTCGTAAACTTCCGATGAATTGAAATTCCGTGAATCGTGAGATTTAGCCTTTAGTCTAGCCTTTAATATTTATTAAAGGTTTATTAGAGGTTTATTTTAATGGTAGCTTCTACCCGATAATATGTAGGCGGGTAGATACTATATGTCCACATTCATGTGGGTATTACTTGTTTGTCGGTAGTTATAAAATGTATTTATGTCGCAGGCAATTTATATATGATTCCATTACATACGGCGTCGTCAGTTTAAAGAGGGTCTCAGTTATAGTATACTATGTTTCAGGCGTGGGTAAAACTTCACTCACTTACTTGATTGCCCATAATAAGCCACTAGTATCACCAGGATGGACTGTCGGCTGTTCCGTAGAGGTAAAACTACACAGGTACAAAGAGGGAACACAGGCACAAAATACCTTCTTTGTGGAGCTCTGGGATGTTGGAGGCTCAAATGGACACAGAAATACTAGGAATGTTTTCTATCAGCCTACACACGGTGCGTACATTAGGATAGTCTTATGCTGTAAATAGATTTATTCGCGATAATAGTTTCAGTCAATCACATCTTGGCGTTGTCTTCTGTAACGTTCTCTCTATGACTATCGCATAGGTGATACATATAAACTTAATCTTAATATAATGAAAAGTTTTAAACCTTTAAAATTAGTAGATAAAGTGAGAGGAAGCCTTTCTTTGTGCGTGTGGGAAAAACACCTGGTTTTGCGATGCGGCGGTCTGTCGGAATGCGGGTGTGTAAAAAGTTTTATACATATTATTGTTATTGTTTTCAGGTATTATTTTGGTTCACGATTTGACCAATAGGAAAAGTCAAGTGAATTTACAAAAGTGGCTATCTGAAATATTAAATCAAGATAGTTCGAATCCGACACAGCAACATGTTGATGTGGATCCTGAACAATTTTTAGGTTCTACTCAGGTAAATTTGATTAATTGTTTTGTGCTTTTGATTTCTTTGCTATTGAATTTAGCTAAAAATGTTGTCGACTAAATCTTGGTAAATCGTTATGCCATGATTTGTATCAGGTTCTATATTTATGTCATGGAGAAATTTAAATAAACACTTTTTTCGAAAACTATATAACATCATTTAGTAGTTTCTTTCCATCTGACAAGACCCCTCTCCTTAGGCCCGGGAAGATAACATACCAAGTTGTTATTAATGTCGACTACTGTTTCTCAATAATTTCTTCTTAGTACGGTTTATTTTCAACATGTACAACACCATCAAAATATAAAACAAAAACTACATTGCTTAATTGAACATTTGTAAGGTCTAAAAAGGTCCTACTGAATTAACATCATTGGATGACTGCACTGCACTTACTGTATTAGTGGGCTGCAAGCGCCTTTTTTTTAACCTGTGGAAACCCCCTCAGGCCGTCACCCCACTGGGATTTGCGTCGAGGTGGTGTACGGGAATGGAACCTACTAAAACCACATGGTGTGCTACTCCGAGACTGAGATAGGAGGGTTGACGATACGATTGACTTAGCTCACTGTTTCGCGAAATGTCAATGTCGTCGCTTGTCTGAAAGGACTTTGCCGAAAAGTCAAATAATTCGAAAATAATGCTGTTCGGAAGCGATCTTGGCAGGCATAGGCACTGCATAAATTGCTAGAGCTATACGAATGTGATGTGTTGTGGGATTGTTTCTGTTCACATCTATGTGGAGAAATGATAAAAAGTCCAGGCCAGCCGCAGGAAGCTTATACATATTTTGTTTCTAAACTTCTTTATACGACCACTGTGGCACGACGGCAGTGCATTCGAGGGCCACACCGGGAGTCAAGTTACCCTTTATTTTTTCCTTTTATATAATGTATAAGCAATTCTTGTAATTTATGCTCATATTATTTCAGATTCCCATATTAGTAATTGGTACAAAATTTGATTTGGCAGAAGAGAAACAAAGAAAAAATCAATACAGAAGATTGGCAAGCAGTATAGCTGAGCAATGCGGTGCAGACGAAATCTTTGTTAACTGTCACCAAACTAGGTTTGTAGTTATGTCTACAAAAATGTACGTGTGTATCTCTAAGACTTTTTTCATATTTAATGTTTTTATTTAAAAAAATGATATTTCAGGTCTCTAGCGCCAGCAACGAGTAATTCCGTCAAGTTAACTAGATTTTTTGATAAGGTTAGTTTCACCTGATAATTACTCATCTCACTCTTTTTTTTTAAACACGTTAGGTGAGGTTAACTCAGATTGAGTCAGTTCCACTTAGCGCCCTACGCGCGTGGCCTATGCTCGAACAGATATTCAGGCGTGTACTTTTAGCTTGTGCGCCTGCGTGCCAGTGCGCAATTCATGGGATATACACAAATATTTGTTAGTGTTTTAAAACAATATCAGATTGAAAAACATGAACAATACGGTGGAATAATTTTGTGGTTTTAGTGGTTTTGATACTACTTTACTGTTGCACGGTTTTGTAATTACTGCATGTGTCAAACATGCACAACCGTTGAAACGTTTATATGTTCATGTGTTCAATATATATATATATATATATATTTAAGTAAGACGGTGCGCGCTGTAAAATTACTTCTGTTGTGCATGTTTTTGTTCTTATCGGCCTGCCCAAAGTGCATTAAACTTAACATTTCCCAAAAGCTACGTAAAATATTTACTATGGCTAGGCAATGTGATGAATAATAATAAATGTTTTTATAAGTGTTATTCAGACAACCCCATTTCATTTTTCGTTACTTAAATTGCCGGTCAATAAATGGAATATTAACTTAATGGAATATCATTTAGCTTGTAACAGACATTAGACGTGATAAAACCGTCTGTATAAATAATTATTATTCGCTATTTCTTCGTTGTTGTTCTTCGTGTTCTCGTGTATCTCATAATCTCAAAAACCATGACGTTGCAGGTAATAGAGAGGCGATATTATTCAAGAGTAAGCCCGTTTGCCGACAAAAGGCGTATACCACCATATATAATGGCAACATCGACGCCTCTATCAAACAATAGGCCTTCTCAGTACATGAGCCCGCGATTCTACCACATGGACTGATGTTATTTGTGATGTTTGTGCACCTTTTGTATCATTCCACGTACGTATAATAAAGATTGTACTATCATCGAAATATATTTTAATTATACATATTCATGCATACTCACTTCTGCATCTCAAAGGAGTAGACAGAGGAGTTCTTGTGGTCCCACTCGGAGTAGTAGGCATGTCTATTTTAATCAAACAAAACTTTGAGAATTAAAGATAGGAAAATTGAAAGTATTTTAGAAGGGAATGGTAGGGAATGCAAGGAAAGGAAAGTGATACTGCTTTAACGGAAGGATTAAGGAGTTTAAGGTTAGTGTTGCTTTCGGTTAGTACCTAACTGAAAGTGGCTACTATTTTTCTGTATTTGTTATCAATAACTATAGTCAAATTGCGTTAAAAAAATAGTAACTTATCGTTGTCCCCAAACCAAGCCCCGTCTCCGGACCAATCAGATTCCAAAAAAATATAAAGTCAAGTTCACATTGACGGGACTTTCGTCGGAATCAAAGTGAATAGTTTTAAAGTACTTTAAACATTTTGAATTACTCGTCTGGTCACCCTCGTCTCGTTCGTCGTCCTTGTAATTGTGACTGACCTGTTGGTCTAGTGGTTAGCGACCTTGACTGCTCGTCGTGGGTTCGATCCCCAACCAGGACAAATAATTGGGTGATGAGCACGGTCATTGTTCTGTGTCTAGGTGTACTTTATCTATAATATGTATGTATTTAGAAATATATAAGTAGGTTTCTTAGCACTCTGGTTACTATAGTACAGGCTCTGCATAGTTTGGGATCAATGTGTAAAATGTGTAAAAAAAAACGTTTGTCTATCAACGGTTGAATATAAACCGTAGAGTCCAGCAGTGGACTATTAAAGGTAAACAGCCTTTAATAGGCCACTGCTGGACTCTACGGTTGATAGGTATAGATATGGTTGTATGTGATCTGGGCCTCAATTCTGCTATTTTATGTTCACGCCAAGCCAGTGTCATACCACTGACACGCTATTGAGATGCCATCGAGTGGCCATTGGCATCGGTATAAATATCGGTAGTTAAAAATATATTACGTTTTTTGAGGAAATGATTTTTTTATTTTTATTATAATAAATTATTAAAAGAAATAAATAAATAAAATTAAATTATTTAAAAAGTAAAATATTATTTTAAATGTTCAGTATACTTTCAACGCAGAGACGCATCTTGTCCGTCATTGTGGTTCAAGTTCCACGTAGGCAGCTACGTAGAAATCTACTGTAATTACTGCATGTGTCAAACATGCACAACCGTTGAAACGTTTATATGTTCATGTGTTCAATATATATATATTTTTAAGTAAGACGGTGCGCGCTGCAAAATTACTTCTGTTGTGCATGTTTTTGTTCTTAGCGGTTCTTAGCGGCTCGATGTGTCACTTTTTTCTTAACGCGAATGGACTATAGTAAGACCGGACAATATTATTTTAAATGTTCAGGATACTTTCAACTTTAATTCCACTTATTTACTTACTATTTACACTTTTTTCTTCTTCGCAAAATAGCATCTAGGTAGGTGTAGATATGTAGATATCAAACAAACAATATTTGCTATTAAGTCACAGTTAATTTTCCTAGAGCATAGGACAACAATCTCAGAAAGATTTTATAGCTTTTAGATTTTAAGTTAAAAGACTCTAAAGTCAACACACACACAAATTGTTGTCGTCAAACCAATGAACCACTTTCGAAATGGCGCTGTAATGTGAAATTAGTAAGTGTCCGTTTTAGTCTAAATAATAGTGTTGTATCATCTGCAAACAACACAATCTTGTGATTGTCCTTGACAAGGGGAGGTAAGTTGTTAATATATAATAATAATAATAAAGAGCCGAGAATAGAACCTTGTGGCAATTCTACCACAGAGTCTGGCGACCGCTCACCATTAATATCAACTTTCTGAATCCTATTGTACAGATATGAAGCAAGGAGTTCCAGTGTTTTATTTTTGATACCTGGTATCTATGATAGTGATGTAATTTCCTGATCAGCGTTTCATGAACAATACAATCAAAAGTTAAATCGCGTAAGATACCTAGAGAATCGTGGGCATCCTCTCAGGCATCAAATATATGTTTTACTAGCTCAACACTGGCATCAGTTGTGGAGCGACCCGATTGTAAAACCAAATTGTCTATTGTGTAATAAATTATTATTATTAAAAAAACATTGCAGTTTTTTTAATAATAATCGTCGTATCGATCGTACATAATTTTTTCAAATTTTTTGCTAAATACTATTAGTACTGAGATAGGTCTAACGTTAGTTGGGTCAGATGTATTACCAGATGTTTACGAGCTTATGGCTACAATAGAAGTAAGTATTTGACGTTAATTTCAACTTCATATCTCCTTTTCGAGACAAACAGACTACGAATCCTATAAGTTTTAGATTTAGAGTTTAAGTTTTGCTTTGTGAAACGTACGTGTAGAACGTAATAAATGTCTTTTTTGGAATATTTACTTATGAATGCAGTTTACTTGTATGTGGATTACAAAGAAACAATATGATGATACTAAAATAGTTTTATTTACGATAATTATTTAGATTTTCACATAACATAGTCCACAGATGTTGCATCGAAGATTATAAGGCCCAAATTCGAACGTAGTCCAATTGCAGAGACGCATCTTGTCCATCATTGTGGTTCAAGTTCCACGTAGGCAGCCATGCTCCGCGTGCGTTCCAGAAGTCACGTGTTGCCTTATAGACATAATGATTTATATGTATGAGAAAATAATATACTAGGTGAAAGTCGTTTGCCATTAGTCCTACCATGGGAAATAATTTTGGTCATTGTTCTGTGTGTAAAACTACGGATAAATAGTTTACCTAACTAGAACTAGAAAATTACTTGACTGAAATTTAGGTATCGCTCTAAGTATTGCAGATACGTAAAATGATTAAAAACTGATAAACAGATATGTGTCTCGATGCTCGAGCATAGGAAAAGGCGTCCAAGATTACAGTGAGTACACTACAATTTCCTCGAGGTATCAATACCATAATTAGTTACTAAAGATTGATTGCTCATGATACTCTAAAAAACCGGTCAGGCACGAGTCGAACTCGTGCGCCGAGGATTCCGTACTTACCCAGATTTTAAGTAGATTTTCGCGAAAATTTGTAAGTACCAAAATTTATCTTAATTTTCAACTTTTTAATTTTTTAAATTTTTTGGAATTATTCCTTTAATTGTGCTGTAAGACGTTTCTTTTTGCCAAATTTCGTGATTCTAGGTCAACGGGAACTACCATATAGGACCTAAAACCTATAGGGTTCTTCCGGTTGGCCGAGAATTGTCAATTTTGGTTAAAAGCAAGGTCTTACAGCACAAGTAAAGAGAAAATTCTGAAAAATAAAAATAGTTGAAAATGAAGGTAAATATTGGTACCTACAAGTTTTCCCGACAATCGTAAAATCTGGGTAGGTACGGAACCCTCGGCGCACGAGTTCGACTCGTACCTGAAAATCGAAATTTGCCCATATCTTTTTATCGTGTTGACCAGGACCTTGATTTTTATACACGTAATTGGGACCATAGACCTCAATATCTGGTATAAATTTCAACGTGCTAAGTCTACCAGTTCCTGAGAAAATCGGTGGTGACACGGACAGACGGACAAGAAAGTGATCTTATAAGGGTTCCTTTTTTACCTTTTGAGGTACGGAACCCTAAAAATGAACAATAGGTTTGGCTAGCGTATAATAAAACTGTTATAGTATTGTGGGCATTATAATTCGGGCACTGCTGCCTATGCTTTATTAGAGTCGATCATTAGTTTCTTTATTGGCAACATTGAAATTTATGACTTCTATTATAAAATTGTAGAATGCATACATATTTTATAGTAATTACCATATTTTTGCAATGCATATACCTATTTTTTTACTTTTCTGAAAAATATTTAGTAAAACAATAGGTATCTGTGCATAAAATCCTCAAACATTGCCCCAAAATTATGCTAAAAGATCAATGAGTCACACACATACTCAAAGTTGGGTCGCTTATGATTTTATGATATACGCTTACTACTCACTGTGGGTGACCCGTTCCACCAGGGCTTAGGGCTGGGGTTAGTAACACCGTCAGGGAAGAATCCATTAGTTCCGCCCACAGCCAAATTAATGATGAGGTAGAACTAAAAACATTAAGAGAATATGCATTATTATAATAAGGTGGCAAGACATTAAGTATGTACATCTAAGTATGACTGCACGGATGACGTAGTGGTTTAATCGGTCGGCGTGCCGTGCCGCTTCCTAATACGCTGAGTGTTGAAGGTTCGATTCCCACATAGGACTACACTCACACCCGCGACACAGGATATATTCCTAGTGCGAGAGTTTGAACCATTAACCCGGCTGGCGGCGCGCCACTATTTACTGTCGCTGTACACACAAACAGTCGCTACTGTGTAAAAAATACCACATTTGACAAATTTCAAAATAAAATTATAGGTATATTAATTAGTAACTATAAATTAAAATCAGATAAATAAATACATAATTTGAAATGATAACGTGATAAACAATATGTTATGTATTTATTTCTATTTTATATATGAACTTAAATCACTAAATGATAGTATTTTCTTCTTATATCTATGAACTTAGTGACAAAAATAGCTTTAAACTTGGTAGTACTAAGTACTAAATTAAGATCAATCGCAAAATAATTGAATATTTTCTCACTTATAACATAAAACATCCACCATAACATACGACTTACAACTACTTACAAAATTGACTAATTGAAGACACTATAAAATTTTGGCACTTTAGTTTTATTTAATTGAGGATCACTTTATTTTTGTTTATAATACTTAGTGTAGGGTTGGAGGGTCATGGGGACCTATTGCATTGAAAGATTAGGTAATAGAATGAATAAAAGTTATATAATGTTTCCACTTTTAGCGGTGGGAAAAGCTTTTACAGGTTTTCAAAAATGTAAGGAGAGGAAATCGAAAAAAATATTCGGGCGCATCAGATATGTGAACGATGACGATGATTGTAGGCGTCTGCAGCAGGACATAGACAATGTTGTGACTTGGAGCAAGGAAAATCGTTTGCAATTTAACCCCAACTTACATTGTTATAATGTTGATGGGGTCTCGATGGTTAGGGTCCAAACAGTTGGGGATCTAGGTATAAGTCTTAACACAGAGCTAACGTTTCGTGACCACATAGTCAAGTGCTGTAAAAAAGCATACAGGAATCTAGGTTTTGTACTGCGCACTGTTCAGTCGTTTACCAACATTAAAGCCATAGTTACTCTATACAATGCTTTAGTGCGTAGTCAGCTAGAATACAACGCAGTCATCTGGTCGCCGCATGAGATTAAATATAGTCTCATGCTGGAGCGAGTCCAAAACAAATTTGTGAAGTTTTTATATTTGCGACAGTACGGGGTTTACCCATTTTACCCACTCATGTATCCGACTCTGTTCGTCTTGGGCATGGTCGGATATAACGAGCTTAGAGTCAGAAGGGACCTTAGTCTTGCCTCCTATATATTTAATCTACTAAGGGGAAAAATCCACGGCAGCAATATATTAGGATTGGTAGGCATGTGTGTACTGGACGGGTATGTATGGCGGCGACGCGGTCCGCTATTGTTGGCGGTGCCGCGCGGACGCACTAATTTGTTAAGCGAAGCGCCTCTAACGCGTGCGTTGCTCACCCTAAACCTAGTAGCCACAGATATCGGCTTATTTAGCTGTACACTGAGTGAGTTCACAAAGACAGTATTATATATTATATGTTACAAAACACAAAGTTAGAGGTTATGTAAAACAAGCATTTTTGTAATAGTTACACTATCGCATTAGGATATACCTGTAATGATAGTAGTAAGTGTGGATACTAAATAAATAAACAAATAAATAAATATTTTGCGGATACCAAAAATGCTCCCATTGAAAGATCTGACGATTTTAAAATCGTCAGATCTTTCAAGGGACAAGCTGGTAGCGAATTATCGAAAATACCAACTGCACATTCGAAAAATCGCCATTTCGAAATACCAATTAATAATAGATTTTATACAGACGGTTCAGCTTGATGTCCCTGTCATAGTAGCCAAAATCTGACGATAATTTTGCAGGGTATTTTAAATCTGACGGTTTGAAATATTTAGATTTTTTTATAAAATGGGACAAATAAAGGCACGAAAAATTATGTAGACATTTAAAGAAGATTTCTGCCATTGTTTGCTTCAAAATAAAAATAAAATGTCAAGGTCATGTCTTTTTTTTTACTTTGTGACCCTCCCAATGCTTTTTAGTTACGCTCAAATCGTCAGATTTTTTGAATAACACACTAATGCGCATGTAATTGCCTTAACTTACCTTACACGCTCGAGTATTTTTGGTCAGCGATTTTTTTAAGTAATCTGATGGGCTGCCCTAGACGATCCCCCTATATATAAGGCTCATGTTTGGTGGAGCTACTCAACTGGGTATAAGGTATTCCTCCTATGTTAATCTGACACGCTCCAGTAAATCCTGAAATCCCTTCTAGGGCTCCTCTACTATTATTAATTGTATGTACCTTTTTGATTGTACACCTCACAAACAGGCATACTGTTCGGGATATATCATTTTAACCCGAAACTTACACGATATTTTAGTGTTCTGACCTATTTACATAAGCATACTGCGTAACGGGACTAACTTATGTTGGCTCTTGATAGTTCGAATGGACATGGTTGATCACTATGATCTTACTCATCATCACCAAGCATCAATGATATTTTTATTTAAGTCACCAAATTAGTTGTAGCGGCTTTTTTCCTTATTTGTGGAGTTACGAGGTTCAATGCTAATTCTTTAAAGACCAAGGGATCACCAAAGAATGACTGATTCCTTGGTGGCCCTATTTTGTCATTACCTTTTGCAATCACATAATGATTAATGCCTCCCATATTCAATATACGATAGAAAATAGTCTAGCGTCTTGTGAGATACAGAATAAGTGACACATAACTCATCTATTCATCCACATCATTTTTTACCCGGTAGCGCGTCCTGCCGGGTTAATGATGTCAGACTTAAAAACCTTATTCACTTATCATATTAAATTAAGATACCTTTTCGTCAAATGGTGCCATTTTGGATCCAAACCGCCAAGGGTTCTCAACTGTAGGGTTCTGGTTGAAACCACCGTATTCCCAAAAACCGCCATTGCCAGGTGTCACACGCCCGAGTTCTACATCATCGATGCTGAATCTCAGAAAATCTGCAAGAAAATACGAAATTAAGATGAACGTGGAAATAATGTACTTTTTGGCGTCTATCTTATTTATTTGAAAAAACAAAATAAAAATAGGTAAAAGGTACGATAAAAATATAAATATAAATAGCGTGAGGGGTCTATGGACCCCCGGTCAGTACGACGTTCCTTTTGGCAAGAAGTGTCGGGAAAAAGTCTTGTTTCCCATTTTTTTGGTCTCGCTCCCATCTGCTCGTTCACGCTCGTACAATTAGGTATTATGTTATATATTTTATAAAAAAAAAATATATAGGTAGGTATACTGTTTCATAAAACATTGTCAATAGAATCGACATGGAGTTAGCTTTACATAATCTTCGTATAGCTAAAGATTAATCAAAATCCGGTCAGTAATTTTTACGTGAAGAGAAACATTCACCCAGACGTTTCATAGTAAGAATATATTTACTGTTTACAAATTTTTTTTATTTCGTACCTGGCGTCCATTCAAGCTGGTAGCGATGAAAGTTTTTGTCATACCCATTGCTGTTCCTTCGGACCCAGTGAGTGCGTTCCCAACCGTTCATCGCTGGGAATGGCCCATAATGAAGTGTCGAGCCCGCTTCCTGTATAATATTCGTTTAAGCAATTATTTGATATGGTACTCGTAGGTACTTCTAAAGTTTAATCTCGTCGGACCACGTCGTGTTTGATTCGTTATTTAATTATTGAAAATAAACGTTAATGAACCTAGCTTTATTATTTTTAATAATGTGTCTATTTTTAATAATGTATTGTTCAATTTTATTAAAAGAATATCAGCACTGCATATGATATAGGTATATTTTGATATACCTACAGCGATAAAAATAAGTAAAAGGTATGATAAAAATATAATTGATGCTAATTTAAAGAAGAAATTGTGCAAACCGCGTCATTTAACATTAGGCAATAGTGTACGTTGAGTGTTTAAAATGTGAATGTTAAAATGCTTTTGTTAAAATATTACAGAAAAAGAAGCCACAAAAACCAATTTAGGTTTTCGTATTAGTAGTTTAATACCATAAAGCATCCATAAACCCTGGTACTCATAGCTCTAGAGTGCAAGGGATAAAAATGTATTTTACAATATGGTTCTTTTTACCTGAAAAGGAGTTTATACTTTTCTGGCCAATAAACGACGCTATTGATTTTATTAAATGTTAATGCGATGATTTCATAAGAAAATAGTGATTTCAATAATATTTTTTAGAAATTGTGTTGTTTTTAACATATTTTCAGACATTTTTCTTTAAATTTCGTTGTGCTTCAATATTCATAAACAATTGTAGATAAAGTACTTTAGATCCGATATTTCTGTTTGCTGATTTGTTATCCATATATCATCGTGATATCCATAAAAATAATGTTAAAAACATGTTACGTAGGACAACATACATATTGTACTTACCTCTGAGTAAGAGTGTTAGAGTTTATGTTTATTTAATCACGAAAGCCCTGGTATAAGTAAAACGGAAAGAGTACTCAGCTTTTAAATTTATATGAACTTAGGAAGGTCTTAATAGATTCTAGGTAATTGATGCTATGGATTTTATGTTAACTTACGTGTGTGCCGATGTGAAGTCCATTGGACAACATATTTCGATTGCCTCTAGATTCTACCAAGTCGATTTCTCCTGAAGCGGGCCAGGTACCATAAGCGTTGTAGGCAGGCATCAACCAAATTGCTAATTAAAGTAAACAAAATTTATTATAACTAGGACAATTAATTAAAGAATGTTAGATGTAGAATATCATAAATGATCACTACTCTCATTCTACCAGCTTCGAATTTGTTTCAAGTTTACTAAAATAGTTACAGAATATATATTTTGTTAAAATCTATGAAAAATAGGCTAAAAAATAGATCTTAATACAATAAATGGCTATCCTGAGCAGTGAAAGTAATGAAAGATTATTTTGGTGCTTTACGATAAAGCGCTACCGAAGCGAGAATCACTCAGATCTCAGAACTAGTACTGTAGCAGTCTGTTTTTAGATTATGTATGCCTCCATCTAGACGTAAATACAATACTAGAATATCAGATGAATGTCTGAATGAGTTTCAATAAGTAGTATTTTACCTGGCCACAACCAGTCTCCAGCGGGCATCTTAGCGCGGACTTCAACACGTCCATAGCGGAAGCTGAAGGAATTTACGGTCCGCAGACGTGCGCTTTTGATTGGATTTAACAAGTTTGTGGGTGTACCGGTACGCTCACAACCATAAAACTGTGGGTTTGTGCACCTTGAAGTTATTTAAAATAATCAAATTAATAAAATAACAAACATCAAGAGAGTATGACACACCATTATCTTAAAGTCAGGCTCTTATTTTTTAATTATTAAGTGTTTAAGCACTTAATTACAAGTTGTGAACCAACGGAATCTATTTGAAATCCAAATGTAATACCTCACTATTTCACCTGCTTTGAGAATAATGCTGCAAACTACTATTCATGAGAGTATTCTTATGAATTGCAGTTAAGTGTTTGAGGCCTGAGATGGTTTAATAAACCTTTCAATCATTCATTTAATAAGAAAAAAAGAAGTTGGGCCATCAGAACTCAAGATTAGTACGTTTAAATTGATAACCTCACTTTAATAAAACGAACATGAACATTATATTATCTTTTGTTCCTTAGGTGATTAATAAATAATTAAGTAGGATAATGTAGGTTATACCTGTCAGCTGGAGCACCACCTTCGATGTTCAAATGTCCGGAAGACAGGAAACTTTCGCCGAACTGATCCGACGTCAAGCTCGGGCGAATATACAAGTTGCCGCTGTGTGTAAACGAGTTTGTACGGTTGTTGCTGTAATATTGGAACTCCCAGTTCTGAAAGAATCGCAAGAACCCCTGATAACATGTACAAGCTTCAGGCTTTTACAGCTTGGCTTCAGGGCTGTGGGTACGGTGGAGTAGGCTCTTTGTCACCAGTAAACTTAATTAGTCTCTGAAAAGCTACGTATGAATTATATGCGAATTATGATGTTTGTTAACTTTTTTGTTATGTAACTATTGTTTTGTTACGTTATAGATGGTAATCATTAATATTGTAAAAGAAGAATTTTTTTAAAAAGTAATGTAGTTATTCTTCATTCTAATTTATGCAGAATGATTATCAAAAGAATGGTAGTTTGAGACACCAGATTAGTAGGGGTATGTAGGTAGTCGTACATAGTATACACTTTAGTACTTACACCACCACCAGCTAGTGTATTTTCGTGTTGCCATTTCTCGACGTCTAATGAATTGAAGTCGTCAGCGAAGATTAGTTGACCGGAGCATACAACGGCGGGGGCATGAGTACCGCTGACTGTCGTTACACTGGGGGTGCAAGCCTCCCCAAATGAGGCGACCGCTAACATACCCGCTACTACGAACAACATCTCTGTAAATAAATAGTTGTATTTGTAATTTTAACAAGGTCTCGACCGGGTGTAAAAATTATAGGTATTCGTTAATGTAGATCGTCGTTTTCAGATGTTATTGGTTTAATTGTTTATCGCTCGTTTTGTCACTTTTGACCTGTCTAGAAATACCCATTAAGGCAAATGCATGATTGATATAAATGTAATTATTTTTACACAATAATTAAAACAGTAGACGTCACTCACCAGCTAACGATAGCAAACACTGCTTTGAAATTGGAAATGTATTTAATTTATATACATGTGTATATCACGATTAACTATAATCCCACTTCATCAAACACTAAGGCGATGTGACACTGGTGTACTCGTAGTCAGTGTGGGTGGTCGGTGTGACGAAGCACGTACAATAAAACTACTATCACAATAAATAAGTTATTTTGTATTTTCCTCGATTTCGTCATCACTTTAACCGTCTTGAGTGAATTTGGTATTGTAACTAGCCTAATGTTTTATCTTAATCATATCATATCACAATATTCTCAAGTTTAGATTAAGATTGCAATCAATAACGTATTTTTCACGATCATCTATAATGATAAGGTTATTAAACCTTGTTATTACATAATCGTAAGAAACTCACATAGAATCTATAAATTTAGACGAACTTCGAGCTTCGCCTGACTGCCACCACTGCGGTGGCCGGACAGTGAACACGGCCCTCCACACGTTGGCAGAATGCCCAGCGTGGGTGGAGCAGAGGCGTGACCTCGTGGTGGCCATCGGAGTGGGAGTCCTCTCGCTCGGTAGTATGATTGCCGCCATGGTACGGAGCGAGAGTGCGTGGAACTTCGGAGATGGCGGAGCGAGACCGGGAGAGGTTAAGAACTCTCCCTGCCCGACAGGCCCGGGAACGGGCAGGTACCGCAGACTACTCGGGCGCCGGAGGAGGGGGTCATCTACATATTGTGGATGGCCCGAGGTACGTCGGGGTACCAGGGATTTCTTTTCTAGGGTACACCTGGTTCCCCGGCTACTGGTACCCGAGACGGTGTGCGGTTTTAGGTCGGTTCGAGTCCGACATAATCACCCCAAATTTTCATCATCATCATCAACAGCCTTTAATAGTCCATTGCTGGACATAGGCCTCACCTTAGAAAGGCAAGTCTGGCCAGCGTGGTATACACGCATAAGGCATTTCCTTACAAAAGAGGTTTTGGCCTACTTTACCACTCGGGCCAGACAGGTTGGTATAGGGTTTGTGTCAAGTTTTCTTTCTCTTTGCAGTGCTGTTGTCCTGCGTTGAGCCGACTAAGGGAGCACAGGATGAATAGGGGTGGTGACACTCTGTATTCTAAATCCGGCACCACAAGGAACAATGATAGTCAGAAATTATTCAGAAATTATTTTAGTACCAAGTTTAAGTTACAGTTTTATAAAATTTTATGCATTTACTTCCTGTCTATGTGCCACTAGTTGACAAAGGCCTTTTTTTTTTACGTGTGGAAATCCCCTCGGACCGTCACCCCACCGGGGTTTGCGGCGGGGTGGTGTGTCGGACTCGGTCCGACTAAAACCACACGGTGTGCCACTCTGCGCCTGTAATAGGAGGGATCCGGGAACAGCTGTTATTAAGACATCCGGACCCCTCCTAGCGCCGGCCCGCTCCTGTTGCGGGCTCCGTCTCAGATATATATATATATTTTTTTCCCTCTCTTTAGGCGACGTCCGGCACACACGGACGCCGCCCCCTCGCGGCTGGCCAAACTAATGCGGGTGGAGTGGAAACCCACCCCGTCCACCCGCGGCCACACTCAGGGCGGCATGAGGCGGTGATAAGCGCAGAAGGTTCCTCGCAGAAGGTTGCGACCGCGGTAAAACAACTGTCGCTACCGGCCATGGAGCGTACTACGGCCGGTAGCGAGAGATCCACTCCGATGACTGCAGTGACGGCCCGGCGCTGCGTCGCCCATGCGGGGCAGACCGCCAGCGTGTGCTGGGCCGAGTCCTTACTGCAGTCGCAGTGGTGGCAGGCGGGACTCAGTTCCCTCCTAGCGACCGAGTGCAGGTACTTTCCGAAGCAACCGTACCCGGAAAGCACCTGCGTCAGACGGAAGGTAAGGGTCCCGTGCTGCCGCCCTGCCCACTCGGCGATGACCGGCTGGAGAGGCTCCACGGCGGCGAAGCCAGCGCGTGGAGTCTCCAGCCGGAACGACCAACGAGCCATCGTGGCTCTTCGGGCGGAGGGCGAAATCCGCTCTCCGCCCGGAAGTCAGCCACTCGCCGATAAACTTCGGCGAGCACTTCCGCCTCCAAATCCCACGGGGGAGTTCCGGCCAACGCGCAAACCACCTCCGTCGAAACGGTGCGGTAACCGCGTATGGCTCTGACCGCCATTACCCTCTGAGGGCGCCAGAGGCGTGCTCTATTCTGGGCGGTCAGAGCCGCCGCCCACACCGGTGCACCGTATAGTGCCATTGACCGGACAACCCCCGTGTACAGCCGTCTTGTCGCGACGCTGGGTCCACCCAAATTGGGCAAAAGTCGCCCTAGGGCAGACGCAGCGCCGACCAGCTTTGGAGCAAGCTGTCGGAAGTGCTCGTCTAAGAGCCACATGTCGAGGATCAGGCCCAGATATTTCATCTGGGCCCGAACCGGTACGAGGACCGAGTTGACCACGATTGAGGCGCCAGGGGGTGGACCACGATGGGGCCCATGAAATAAGAGAGCCTCCGTCTTATCTAGGGCCACCCGTAAGCCCAGCGCCTCAATGCGCCCGACCACTAGGGAGACTCCCCTTGTGGCCAGGCGCGCCGCCTCTTGGAAGTTCGCCCCCCGGGCTGTCACCAGAGTATCATCTGGGTAACAAATTACACCCAGCCCGGGGGGGAAATCGGCTCGAAGGGCCCAGTCGTACCCTATGTTCCACAAGAGGGGTCCAAGAACAGACCCCTGTGGAACACCGCACGACATGGGCCGAAGTTGACAAAGGCCTCCCCCAACTCTCGCTATTTCTGTGTATTATTAGCTACTCTTGTCCATATGTAGGTAAGTAGTTGCTGACTAATAATAAATATTGTTGCGCCATAGGATTAAGTAGTTCGATTGTTCCAGAATTGTATAGAATGTGGAGGACAGCGCCATCTAGTATCACGTAAAGTACAACTATTGAGATGTAACTTCTAATAATTCTGATACTTACTTTTATTTTCATTTGTCTGCAACGGACTGTCGAATACTAGGGATCATTCTAGTAAATTCGGTAGTGTTATAAAAGTGGAGCGTGTTGGCCGCACGACACAGTATCTTTTTACGAAATAACATCGAAGCGACTAACGAGTTATATAGTGATTTCTTCTTTGTAATAGTAAGTGTTTGTAATTACAGTACAATAAAAGTAATTAACCGAAAACTTTTATTTAACAATATCATTTAAGTTTGATTTAATTGATTCTCGACGCAAGTGGTTACGAGTTTTAGAACCGCAAGTCGGGTAAAACCTTTCGGGATTTCCTAAAACGAGTTCTTTAAAGACCTAACAATTATTTTACTTCCTTCCTGTTACAAACCATGTGTACGGGTTCGTAACAGTTAATTTTTATTATTGGTCTATGACTAATGCAATAATAAATAATATGACCTGTAGATTTTATGACGTAACGTCTAACAGATTTGTATATCTAATGTAATATAGTATTTTCTAATAACTTTTTTTTTAAATAATTTAAATTAAAACAAATTGTAATACTATTTGAATTCAAATAAAACAGTAACTTTCAAAGATAAAATCATTTAAGTCTGTATGGCGCACCCTTAAAAATCAAATTATTGCAGGAGCCAACTTGAGATTTTTGGTACAGTCAGTCTAGAGCTCACATATGTAGAAGGTTTGACAGAAAAACCTACTTAATGAAACTTTTACGTCTCCCAAGGAATAGGCTTGTGTCCACTAATAACAAATTGCTTAGTTTATAGTTTAAAATTATAAATGCAGATACATAGATAAGAAAAAACAGTCTATTTCTCATAAAAGTCAAAGATTATTAATATTAAAAAAAAAACAAAATAGGCATTAAGTCACGTGACAGCGAACACCAATCAGGAAGTGTTACGTCACGCCACGCAAAACATCCTTGTTGTTGTTGACGTTTTCATACAACAGAGCAACACATACAATATGTTTTTAGCATATTTTCTCACCTTAATACAGTTTCAGTTGACACTGGACACAGATGTAAACAGTTTTGTTTCGCAGACTGTGACGTCATTCAAGACGCCATGACACTATTTAGCGATTTTAAGGGAAATTTAAATTGTTTTTTTTAAACACAAAATACGTAATGTAAATATTGATTTTTCTTTAAAATATAGGTTTATAGGATAAAATAGATATTAAAGTACCTATATAATTAACCAAGTGTTCAAATTGATTAACTTGCTATCAGGTTCTCTACGCGACAGAGAGATTTGCGTTGTCATTCTACATTAGCATCAAACCTACAACTAGATGTTACGATGTGGCAGATATACTTGAAAGATTCGACTATCTAACAGGTTGCTTGTTTAAAAAATATTGTAGGTATGTTTGCCGGCCCTTTATCGGACCACCAATGTCACTGCGTTACAAACTAGTTCATACTCAGCGGCGTATCTCTCATATATCTTGATTAGTTTATTTAAGCCTTTGACCGAGGGGCTCACCAGCACCACGTCGTCTGCATAACTTAGGTTATTAAGATATCTGTTATCCATATTAAGCCCAACCGGGGAAATATCAAATCAATCACATAGGTATTAAACTGGACCGGAGATGTTACCCCTCTTATCTCACACTACATTGAGGTCGATAGCTTATAGGTAGCACTAAGCCTCGCCAGACCCTATTGGTCAGTTTGCGATACCAAAATGCAAGAAGTCAACAAGTTCAGGAGCGATGCCTGTGGCACCGTCACGCTACTTACTCCACAGGAGGTCTTGGTTGATGCTATCCAAACCTCGGAAAGTTCGGAGAACAAGCTTACATTATAGTTTGCCGCTCTTTATAATAACCGACAACCAACGAAAAAATAGCCTGTTAAGATTTGTGAACGGGACCCGATCTATCCGTCATCAATATATCTCGGAGTAGGATTTTATAACTCGTTCAAGTACCTGATGATGAAGCAACCAGTGATCTATTTTTTTTTGTCTTCCTCTCCCTAGCACTAAGATGTAAGTTGTTGATATGTAACCTTTTTGGTTTCTATAATTTATATAATTTCACAGTAGAAGTGTATCTGTTAATTTGTATATTTATAATACTGAGTATTTTAAAATTGAAACATTCTGTATTTATGTATTTTATTTACTTTATTGTAAGTTAAGTATTAAAAGTAAATCATCATACTTTATTGTAAGTTGCGTGATTCTGAACAAAAATATGTTGTCCTATCATAATTATCATGAGAAAGTAGCGACAGTAAGCACTATATACTCTTTGTCCTTATGGTCAACCAAAGTACAAGTTAATATTAGAGTTCTTAAACTTCAAGGTTTTCAATCATATAATATACAACCTATGCGATTTAAGTGCTTGTTTTTGGTTTTTTATCACATTCTTAAATTGTTTGCTGTCAAATTGTTAAATGTGAAATTTTAAGTAGGACTTTCACCAAACAGAAATTTAGTAAACAATAAAAATGGAAAAAAATTGCGTGTAAAACATGTTTTAGGCAATCGAAATTAATAGAATTTATGTAATTGCCATGGAGAAATGGTAACTGCGTCTGAAAATACATAATATAATACATATGTTCAGAAATACATATTTAGTTCAGAACATAGTATAAAATAAGGTTTTTTCAGATGGCGGTGGCACTCAGATCCATTGCGCGACAATTAAGCCCCATTGTTACACGTTTTTTACCACCAGGAAGTTATAGCATTACTTTTGTAACGAGTCGTTTATCAAACCTATCCAATGTTCCATCTGCTTCTCACACAAAGAGATCTAAGTTGTCAGTGAATACTATTTCGCAGATATATAGTAATATACCACTTCTGTATCAACAATTGGATCCACACAACAATAATTCTGGAGATAACTTGTCACAATCAAGTAAAGGTTCCCAAAATCTTGGCACAGGTTTACCAAGGTCATTCTCCTTCAAAAGAAAACCTCTAAAAGATAATAAAGGAAAGAGAAGAGTGCCTAAGTTAATATTAGTACAAAATCCTTTTACTTGGTTAATGATTAAAATTGACTTCAGTGTATTAAGGAATATTTGGGATCCTACATTCCAAGAGTCGGAATTCAAGTATGGGACGAAACAGGTAGTTTTCTTATTTTTTATTTTGAATTGAGTTAGCAATCTTTTTAAGCTAATAAATAACACTTTTAAAAACTACAACCAGTAACCTCACTTACCCGGTGAAAGCAACGATAGAATTGCTCGTCACCGATTTTCTGTGAGACCATGATATCACTCCTGTCGAGCCGGCCTATATGTGCCGAAGCATGGCTCTCCCACCTAAAAATTATTGTATGTTTATTCTCTGTATGTGTATGTGCTATTCTGTAGAGAGCCCACTAAAATGCGAAATTCAGGAACTGGCAGCTTTCTATCGAACGTTCGAATTTAAAGCATCTAGAATTTATATAAACTACTTACATTTTTACAAATTGTCTCGATTTGTAGAATGTCTGCCCACAATCCACTTAGCTCAGCTTAATTGAGTTTGACACTATTTTAAAACTTTTATTTAATAAAATGTCGTCATCTATTCCTCAATTATTGTTTCAGGCTATTTCAAGAATAACAAATGTAATTAGCTCCGGTCGTTATGCTGAATTAAATGGCCTACTCACAAAAGCGGCTCGACTTAGTTTAATGCGAGAATTAGAGCGAAATTGGGGCGATAAGCAACGTTCTCTATTAGCGTTGGAAAACGATGATATTCAGATTTCATCACCGAGAAAAGTTTATTTTATTCGGATTGCCGGTATGTAAGTGTTTATTAAAAAAAATAGTGCGTCAATGCCTTGTTTTTTTCGTAACAGCCTAGTTCATATGCGATTAAGATTTACGATAAGACTTTATCTTGATCCAAATTATTTATAATAGGATATTGAATATTTTAAATTGTCATGGATTACATTTCTCTGATAAGTAACTTTATATATATTTTAGCTATTATAGTGATAATGTATATATACATACATATAATAAACATTATTTATAGCTGGATCATCCCAAGTTGTAGATGCGATCTAAATAAATAAAGGAATAATAAAAAAAGGAAAAAAATGCTTATAATAATAGAACCTTGAACGTCAAACACATTAATATTATAAATATAACTATGTATTTGTAAATATAACTATATATCATCATCATCAACAGCCTTTAATGGTCCACTGCTGGACATAAGCCTCTCCTTAGAAAGGAGGTTTTGGCCTACTATACCACGCTGGCCAGACGGGTTGGTATAGGGTTTGTGTCAAGTTTTCCTTCTCTCTGCAGTGTTGTTGTTCTGCGTAGTTTTTTCCCTTAGTTGACTCTTACAACACCCACGGGATGAATAGGGGTGGTGACATTCCGTATTCTTAATCCGTCACCACACGGAGAAGTGGAGAAAGGACATACTGTGTATTCGAAAAATACAGGTCCCTTTTGCATTCGGTTACAACAATTATTTCATTTTGATAAGACCTGCCTAAGTGCTCACAGAGCTCTGATTTATATCTAAATACAATAAATAAAACGATTGTAGCAATACAATAAAAATACCAGTGAGTAATCCTAGCAAGTAAATAACAAATTATTTCTTCCAGATAAGAAATTTTGCGATGTTGATATGGCCTTTTTGGCATTAAAATGGGCACCCATAAACAGCATTGAAGCACTTATATTTACTGAGATATTTGCGAGATTTCATCGCGAGTACACTCCACATTGTATACCGGAATGGACCATTGCCTATTTCAAAGTAACTCGTTTCGAGGTACTGCGACGATGATGAAATTTATACACATATGTATACGAACTTTTTAAATTGCGATAATTAAATGTTAAATTCTTATAATTAGTTTTTACTTACCTAGTGTAATTTGTACTACTCGGTTTTGATGACTATGTTTTTCTTAATTATAACTATTTTTTCTTGATTTTACCGAGGTAGGGATATGTGGGGGTACCTATAAACTGTGTAAAGATTTTTTATATGTGTGATATACTGATATTGATATACTTAGCGGGTTTAGTTCTAGTTGGTCCGTCCGACCAAGCGTAGGTATTGCCTACCAAAGTTATAAAAACTCTATTGATAAGTTAAAAACTAGTGTTGGTAAATAAACAATATCAATTTGATTCGGTTTAAACACCTTTTTTTTTTCCGTGCGGAAATCCCCTCGGATACCACCTGTCGGTGGCATATCGGACTCGAACCGACTAAAACCGCACGCCGTCTCGGGTACTTATAGCCGGGGAACCAGGTATAACCTAGAAAGGAAGTCCCTGGTCCCTGGCGACATACCTGGGGTCATCTAACGACCCCCCCCGTGTGGGAACCCCATGTTCCCTGTGCTCCATGGAAGTGAGCGCGCTTCGCAACGCGCTCGCCGCCACCCCGGCCTGCTTCTGCTAGGGTGACAGATGGCCTCACCTGTCACCCCCAGGCCTGCGCTTATGGAGGACGGAGGTCGTTCTGCGACCTCCGGCGCCTGAGTCGCCTGCGGTACCTGGCCCGTTCCCAGGCCTGGCGGGCCGGGTGAGTCCTAAACCTCTCCCGCGGTTTAAACACCTAAGACTATAATCATTTATAAAATTTTGCAAATACATCCATGATGCATAAAACACCGGTCAGGCACGAGTCGAACTCGTGCGCCGAGGGTTCCGTACCTACCCAGATTTTACGTAGATATTCGCGAAAATTTGTAAGTACCAAAATTTATCTTCATTTTCACCTTTTTTTTTATTTTTTGGAATTATTCCTTTATTTGTGCTGTAAGACGTTTCTTTTTTGCCAAATTTCGTGATTCTAGGTCAATGGGAACTACCATGTAGGTTTTCGACCCAAAACCTATAGGGTGCTTCCGGTTGACCTAGAATTGTCAATTTTGGTTAAAAGCAATGTCTTACAGCACAAGTAAAGGGAAAATTCTGAAAAATAAAAATAGTTGAAAATGAAGGTAAATATTGGTACTTACAAGTTTTCGCGAAAATCGAAATTTGCCCATATATTTTTATTGTGTTGATCTTGTTCTTGATTGTTGTTGTGAGGATCTTGATTTTGATACACCTAATGGGGACCATAAATCTCAATATCTAGTATAAATTTCAACTTGCTAGATCTACCCATTCCTGAGAAAATCGGTGGTGACACGCGGACAGACGGACAAGAAAGTGATCTTATAAGGGTTCCTTTTTTACCTTTTTAGGTAAGGAACTGAGAAAAAAATGTTCCTAACGTATTCTCTGAATTTAAAAACTCCTTGTAGTAAATATTGCCTAATTTTTTTTCTAAAATAACTAAATATAACGTGGATGCACATAAAATCACACACTTATAAAAAAAATAATTAAAACTTTATTAACATTTAAAACCAACTTGTAACATTTACACCTAATTGAATTATATAACTACACTTTATAAATCCAATAACATGGTGTATGGGTTTTCGAGATAAGTTTTCATGAAGTTGGAGAAGCGTGCCATCGTAACTCCGTCGATGACCCGGTGGTCGGCTGAGAAACTTATCGTGAGTATGTGCGCTTTCTTCACGTTCCCTTCCAAGTCAAATCTCGGCAGCACCTGCAAAAGAATTAACAGTATTGAACTTAACAATGATCTAATTATAATATAAATGCAATTACTTATCAACTCGGTCGATGTTGTATATAGCGCACTTAGATCTTTGAATTGACCACTTCGTGATGTGACCGACAATTTCATGAAATCGTTGTATGTTATAAAATAGGCAGCTAAAATATTTTTAGCTTGCTGTTATTTCGCACCCTTTCTTCTCATTTCAGTAAATAAATACATACCTAACTTATAATAATAAAAATAATTCGAACGATCCCATACAAAGTAACAGGCAGAGTGTAGGCAGAAATTATTCATCGTGTTTTTGATGATTCTGGGGATTTTACCTGAATTTTTCCAAGAGCACCTATGGCTACTTGTGGCGGCAGGATCACAGGCTTAGTATATGTTCCTCCAATCTGAAATATTGACATGACCAAAGTTATATCCCAATGTTTTGAAATTCACTGAAGTGGCCATTGAAGAAATTATAGAAGTAATGGTTAAGAAAGAAAAACTTGTATGACATTGAACGTACAAATTCCATATCTCGCAATGAGTAATATCACTTTAACGGAGTTGGAGGATCGGCTTTCCGTGATGGATCCTCTACAAAAGTGACGTGAATTGCACGTGACTGCACGGATGGCGTAGTTCAAGCAGTCGCCACGCCACTTAATACTACGCTGAGTGTTATGGATCCGATCTCCACATGGGACGACCCGTCGTATGATCCAGAAATTGTTGTTCTATGTCTAGGTGTTCTTTGCGTCCTTTGCGTACAAAATAGCATGAGAATTGGCAAATGTTGTATACTTACAATGCCAATATTAGATATGGTGAATGTGCCTCCACTAATTTCATTTACACCAAGCTGACCCTTATTTCCTTTTTCTTGGAGGCTATTAAGATCGCAGGCGATTTCTAAAATTGTTTTATTTTGTACATTCTGTAAACATCAAAACAAAACGTTTACTGCGAAGATAGCGGAGTAAATTAAAGGTGCAAAAGACAATTATGTAATAATGATGTTGGTAGTAATATATTTATTTATAAAGGTTTTCATATAAGGTTATAAAGGTCACATACATTGATGAAAATATTTATATATTCCGAGAGCATAATAATAATAAAAACAGTTTTTTTTTATTTGATCCTAAATCTTTTTTTAAATTCGCCATAGACGAAAATAACGTATCTTGATTTTCAAAATTACTATCGCGCGGCTTTAACATTTTCGATGCCTACATTATATTATGAACTGTCTAACTTAAAAGTTATGATAGTAATAACATGTATTTTTTTAGTGACGTGACGTAGATATTTTACGAACGTGTCATTAGTGCATTGCACGGATGGCGTAATGGTTGTGGGTTCTATACCCTCATGGGACAACAGCTTGTGTAATCCACAAATTGTTGTTCTGAGTCTGGGTGCTCTTTGTGTCCGTTTCATGTATGTTTGTAAAGTCCCCCGCGACAAAGGATATATTCCTAGTGCGGGAGTTGTCTTTTAAAAGAAAATTTGGTTATAAATCTTCATTTTTAACTAATGAGACGTTCGTTTACATAACAAAGTAAAGATGTGTAAAATTGTTTATCGGAACATGCAGTGATCGGTGGTCGTACCGCCAATCCCAACTTGTCGAAAGTCAATAAATAATTGACATTTTTTATTCCAATGAGCATACAAACATTACTTTCAATTTTGATCATAATAGTTCTAAAAAAAAGGTGGAATATGAACAAAAACAATTGAAAGGAGAGATTAGTGATGACAAAATAATAATAAATACCTTAATAACCGGTACGATTAAGCCATTTGGGGTATCCATTGCGACTCCGATGTTATGACTTGCTTTGTATATTAAGTTTTCACAAGTACTGTCGAGAGAGCTATTAATAATCGGCATTTGTTCAAGTCCTAGTGACGCAGCCTTGATGATGATCGGCATGTATGACAATTTAACATCTCGCTTCTGTGCTATTTTTTTTAAAACTTCACGGGATTCGACTAACTTTGTAACATCGTATTCTTCGCTATAGCCGAAGTGTGGTATTTTCTGTTGACATTTATTAAATATTAAATATAATATATTCGTAAATGAAGCCTAAATATCATTTTTAATCGAATTCTTAAAACTTGCAGTATATATGGATACCTAATATCCACTTATAGTATTTACCTATTATAACTTGTGTTATATATTGGTTATTACAGAGGTGATAAGTTAATTAGAGAATTATTAAGTTTAGGTGCAGGTAATAAGGTTTAATATCGTAATAGGTATGTGACCTACTGTATAGTTAATTTAAAATGTAGGTTTAGATAGAGCAGGAATCGAAACTGACCGTTGCACGCGTTGGCATTGCATCAAATACGGAACGATACGTACATTGCAGATTAACTAGGTAGATTTCCTATATATTAAAAGAAAGCAGATAAAAGTCACTACCTATTCATTGTAAAAAAATTGTATTTATCACAGGGTGAAACGGCCAGTTCCATCACTAAAATAAACTTTTAAAGTACTCCTAGCTGTATCTACATAATAAAAATCGTTCATTTAAGCGTCATAATTATAAATTTCAAGTTACCTACCATCGCTTCCGTCATTGATTTGACCATAGCTCTGGTAAATCCACTGATAGGTACCACTCTGTCTTCCAGCAACAATTCGACTTTTGCACTTTGATAGACTGGCATTTCTACTGCTCTAATACTTGTAACGTCTGCAGTATCATTAGAACTGTCTGAATTCATGTTCAAATGAGAGAGCATGTCTTCTTTGAGTATCCTCCCGTTCTTCCCTGTTGCTTTGACACTGCTCAAATCTACCTTGAAAGAAAAAAATATTAAATTTCACAGACTTTTTTTAAGGCTCTCTTGCAGCGCAGTGTGTAAAAGCTGCGCGAGTCGGCTGCGAATGACTCATCTTACGTTCAGATATTGTGCCACAGTGTAACGTAACGCAGAAGGTTAGAAAAGTAAATCGTGTTTGAGATATATCATTCTAATAGGCTTTTGCACTTTAAATTATTGTTATTCAGACTAATTTACCTGTGTGTTAGCTGCCCACTAAAGTTATACACGAAATTAAAAAAAAAAATTGAATTAAATGACCGTTTAAACAAGGCGAACTAAGGTCTTTATGCTCCTAGGTTATTATTGGTTATAGGATATTAGATCATTATTTCGTACCCACATAATTTGTTTACTTGAAATCCCATAAACGTTGTTTTTCTAATATTTTATTTAATATCAAAGATAATTTTTAAATTTGACTGATGATAACGGTTCAACATTTATTGTGAAAGGATTAGAACCTGCAAAACGCCGTAGAATATGTGCTACAGGGTTAGTTTTTCGCTCGCGGCAATAAGACCCGTTATGGAGGATTGGCTCGAGAGGCATCACGGGACCCTCTCATAACGGTCGACACAGGTGATCACTGGAAAAGGATGCTTCGGGGATCACCTGTGTCTGATCCGCAAGGAGCCAACGCCTGGGTGCCACCACTTCGATGGCCGGACCGTGGATACGGCGCTCCACATGCTGGCAGAATGCCCGGTGTGGGTGGAGCAGAAGCTTGACCTCGTGGCTGCCATTGGGGTGAGAGTTCTCTCGCTCGGTAACATGATTGCGGCCATGGTGCGGAGCGAGAGTGCGTGGAACTTCGCCGACTTCTTCTTCGAGCAAGTTATGTTTGCGAAGGAGATGGCGGAGCGGGATCGGGAGAGGTTTAGAACTCTCCATACCAACTAGGCCTGGGCACGGGTCAGGTACCGTAGGCGACCTAGGCGCCGGAGGTCGCGGAATGACCTCCGTCCATAAGCGCAGGCCCGGGGGGGGGCCTAATAGCCGGGGAACCAGGTATACCCTAGAAAGGAAGTCCCTGGTGAGAAAGGATGTCCCTGGTGTCCACCTCTCACCCTAGCAGAAGCAGGCCGGGATGGCGGCGAGACGCACTGCGGAGCGCGCGTGGGAGCACAATGGGAATAAGGGGGTTCCCACACAGGAGGGGGTCATCTACCCGCCGTAGATGGCCCGAGGTACGTCGGGTTACCAGGGATTTCCTTTCTAGGTTGGTACCTGGTTCCCCGGCTACTGGTACCCGAGACGGCGTGCGGTTTTTAGTCGGTTCGAGTGCGACATAGCCACCGGTGGGTGGTATCCCAGGGGATTTTTTATTTTATTTTATTTTTCAATATAAATATTTTGTTACAATTCGTTTTTTGACATAAATTACCTTGTGATACTGATCTGATCTTCTAGTATCTTAATAAAAGATAATAATTGAGGCGGAGGTTTTATTATAAATTAATGTTCTTACAATAGTTTTATAATAAGTTACCAGTGCACTTACTATGTCTAAGGCCATTCACACAGAACATTTAGCTTCAGTTAGCATCCAACTTATCAGCAAGGTGACTCCTTAGTGCATTATGTACTCTCCAGGGTGTTTTCACCACTGCGTCAAATAGTTCATTGTTTGAATCAATAATAAAGTCTTAACTGTTATCAGTGACACAGTCAATTTACACCATATTGATATTGTTGTTAGTCAACTATTGAAATGCCAATAATACATTATACCCAGCCCTAATAATGCTTTTTATTTTATTTTATTACACTTGCTTTATTTTATTACACGACTGCACGGAAGGCGTTGTGGTTAAAGCTGTCGCCACGCCGCTTACTACTACGCTGAGTATTGTGGGTCCGATTCTCACATGTGACGATACTTTGTGTAATCTACAAATTGCTGTTCTGATTGTTCTGAGTCTGTTCTTTGTGTCCCTTTTATGTATGTTTGCAAAGTCCCCCGCGATACAGGATATATTCCTAGTGCGGGAATTGTCTTAAAAAAAATACAAATACAATACAAATACACATACTTTTACAATACAAATACTTTACCCAGTGTGATGTAGTAAACCTAAGATATACCTATTTCTTAGCGTTCCATCACAAGATAGAAGGGGGCAACACATGCGACTTCGACAGTGCTTGCTAATTGTGACCCAGGAGTAGGTCTAGGGAGCCCTCCTTGCGGCGCGTCAGCGTTCACCTCCACTGTCTGCTGTGTTACCCCCTCTGCCTAACCATATTTAATACGAGCCTAGCAATGCCGCTTTGGACATTAATATACTCGTAATAAATAGTGAGTTATTGCTATGTTTGTGATTCTTTTTATTGAGCCAAATTATATGTATATAAAACACCCAAACTCCGAACAAATAACAACGCGCAGCCAAAGGTAGGTCGCAGCGTGTGCACAAAATTATCCATATGTAAAAAATACTAACTATTGGTATGTGAAGCCTAGCTTTAATTACCTACTTGCTTTTAATAATAAATAATTAAAAATCTTTGAAATTTACGTTGGTTCACAATCTTGTAATGTTCTAGATCAATAGTTTATCTATGCTGACGTAGTTACACATTAGGTTTTACATGTACCTACTTATGTCACATCACACATCAACAGCCTTTAATAGTCCACTGCTGGACATAGGCCTCTCCTTAGAAAGAAGGTTTTGGCCTGCTATACCACGCTGGCCAGGCGGGTTGGTATAGGGTTTGTGTCAAGTTTTCCTTCTTTTTGCAGTGCTGGTGTCCTGCGTTGTTTTGCGCCCTTAGTCGGCTCTTACGACACCCACGGGATGAATTGGGGTAGTGACATTCCGTATTCTTAATCCGTCACTACACGGACAACTTATGTATAATAATATATCATTCTTGAATATATCGTTAATAATACGTAGAACTGTAAAAGTAATTACTAATAGCGAGTGTAACTTATTTACATTTTTATAGATCTAGGATTCATACTCCATTTCAAATTAAAACAAAGCGAAAATAAGCAACGAAACTTTTTGTTTACTTTTTCTTTAGAAATTGATTTGCATTCACATACTATCCAGTATCCGGCCGAGGAACAATATTTGGGCCGGTTTTGCATGATACCGTTTTGCCATCTGCCGTTATTGCTTAATGACTTACATCTTAACTACAAATTCTAATCAATACGAACTAGTGACATTTTACATCACTCAGTGTATTCAGACAGTGTATTCAGAATATTTATTATTTTTATATAATTATTATCTTCATACTAATTGGTACTCTATTGCTTCGAGATCCTTTATTTACCTATATTTTATCTTTATTTATACATATTAAGTTACTCTTAAATGTATATTCGACTAACCTTGAACTGAGCGGCAATTCTTCTTACAGAAGGAGTTGTCAATACTTTCACTTTTTGAACTGTTTCGGTGGAAGAAGTTTCTTTAGGACCTGCAGGTGCACTGGCTTCCGATACAGCAGGGGAATCTGGAAAAATGAAAGCCATCCAAAAAAATATTATATTTATAATATTATGCTTAGTGTCAAAACAACATCAAACAGCCAATAACGATTTCTTTTTTCATTTGCCCTGCTATTCATACACAGAAATCGCCAAAAAGCATCAGTTTCTTTGTCATTTCCTTACATAGTTGTATTATTACATAAATAAAAATTGGTACCTTCATCGCCTTGAACATCTATGTCAACAAGAGGTTGTCCAACCAGCGCTATCTTATCAACTTCATGGTATAGCTTGGTAACTGTGCCATCGTATCGACTTGTAATGGTTACGGCGGCCTTGTCACTCTGCACCTCGCATATGTTGTCGAATTGTTGTACCTTATCGCCTACTTTTACGAACCTGAAGCAAATAAATAAATATGATTTAAATATACCTATTAGCTGACCCGGCAAACGTTGTTTTGCTATATACATGATTGTTGTATGTAGTTTTCAATGTTAAATCATAAAACAAAAAATGCCAGAATAATATAATAAAAATTAGGGATCACCGATTCTCAGACCTACCCGGATATGCAAACATGTTTTCATAAAAATCGGTCCAGCCGTTTCGGAGAGTTTGGTAACAGTTTCGTTAGGTTAAAAATTAAAACACACAATATATGCATAATTAATTTAGAATTGATAGCACTTGGAAAGGCTCTTTCGTATATTGATTCGTTTAAAACTGGAAATTACGTCATATTTACAGACTCGAGAAGCTCACTACAGCATTTGTTGCGATGCACGGTATCAGGTTTTCGAGGAGTCCCAATACCTTATGACATAATAAAATTAATTACAAAGATGCTAAATGAAGATAAACACATAGTCCTTAAACGGGTTCCCTCACAAATTGGCTTAAGAGGTAATTCTAAAGCAGATTCCTGGGCAAAACAGTCAACATTTATGGGTATATCAGTTCCTCGTGAACCTTATTTTACTGATTTGTTGGCGTTGATCAGAGAACGCTGCATTAACATATGGAAAGAGAACTTTGATGAAAGGTCTCGTACTGTTGGTATTTGGTATAAGACAATACAACCATACCCCTCGCACGTTCTTTGGTTTGCAGACTCCGATCTGTCGGGACAAGAAGTTGTCACTGCCCTTAGACTTCGTTTTGGGCATATGCCTTTAAATTGCTTCACATATATGATGAAAAAAGTTCTTCCCCTAACTATACTATTTACAATGTTAGGGAAGATGTTTATCACATAATAGTAGAATGCCTAAGAAATAAGGCTGAAAGAGATCGGTTTCAAATTAAACATGGCATATCTCGGCGTTCTGTTGGAGTTTGTACGAGGCATGCCTTTTAAGTTTTGGCGTTTGAAGAAAAAAACACAACTAGAACCTTATAGTACTTTTTATAGTTTTTCAAAGTATTCACCACGTAGCTTAATACACTTTTTCATTCGCTCAAACCAGTTATTATAACATTTATTCCACTCTAAAGTGAGGGGTGTTCAAAATGGCTGACTTGAAAGCGTCGACTGCTTCTTCACCAGACTGGAACCTTTGACCACGAAGATTTTTCTTAATTTTAGGAAATGTAAAGAAATCGTTAGGGCCTAGGTCAGGACTGTATGGAGGATGGTCAAGAATTTCTACTTTTTCCTGCTTCAAATACTCAATCGTTTGACGAGCGCTGTGTGAGCTTGCGTTGTCGTGGTGCAGGATGATGCGTCAGGTGATGATGAATCAGGATCGTAGGCATAGATCAAAGATTCGTCACAACTGAAAGAAAATATGGAAACGACAGAACTTAAAAGGCATGCCTAGTAACACCATTTTGTCTATGCCCGTGTCAGACCAAGCGCAACTGTTGTACAAAATTGTTAATTTAGGTTTTAGGAAAAGATGTAGTTGCTTAATGTAATTTTATTAGTAGTTTCCTATGGGGGGACACGATCACTTCATGATCAAACCCCTTGCCTTTTGATAAATAAAGAAAAAAAAAAGATGTAGACTAAATATCTATACAAATAAATAAAATTAAAGTGTCTGATTGTAATGTCAAAATAGTAGTTTATTTTCATGCTCACACGGTTATTTGCACGTAACGTATGCCTACAAACTAGTTCAAATATTTTTTGTCTGCCTGTTTGTTCTAGGTCTACCGTTCTACCTTTAGACTACCGATATTTATACCGATGCCAATGGCCACTCGATGGCATCTCAATAGCGTGTCAGTGGTATGACAGTGGCTTGGCGTGAACATAAAATAGCAGAATTGAGGCCTAGGCGAGGTGATCATGCCTGGCGGGCTGCGGACCAACGATTGATGTTCAGAATTTGTATTTATGCTAATCAGCGAGAGAATTGTTGATATCGCGATACAGGACTAGCAGTTACTCCATAGCTCAGCGTGAAATTTTGGTGAAAAAATTATTCACTACTATAGTTCTTGTTGTAACGATTGCCCTGATAAACATTAATAAACCTACCGCTACCGTCTAACGCTATTCGCTACCGTCACATGGGTGTCAGGTGAAAAATTTATTCACTTTCCACTTTCCTTTAAGGAGTGCGCTCTTTTCTTGAAGGTTTGAAGGTCTTAAATACCGGAAATTTTATACCTATAATGTACATTAAGCGATAAGTTAGGTTTTTTTCTTACTTTATGGGCTGTAACTCAATGACGCATCAAGTTTGAAAATAAGTGTATCAGTGCTTTAGGCATTGCCAATAAATATCAATTTGTTTATCATAATATTCAGTAATAATAACTGGGTATTTTCATTATTAACGTCATCACTTTCGTACGTGTGACATTTATTTATTACATCGACTAATGTATGTGTTTATTCCTGTCAGTATTACATCATTCGTGTATGTTTTATTAATAAGAAGTCAACTATCAAAGAAGATAAAACATGTTTTACTTATACAATCTACAGTGTGAACACAACATGATAAATAATTTAAGCTGGTTAGTTATGAACATTGCAAGTGTTTATAGAAATTGTTCACAGTAAAACTTCTTCCATTTCTAGCTATTTAATAATTGTTTATTTATTAAATCCTTCATCGAAATATCGTTACACAAGGTTTTGAGTTCTTATGTTTTTTTAGCAACCCTATTGGCCTCATATATTAAGTAGTATTGAAAAAATTACAACTACAATTTTGAAATGACAAATTTTCATTATATGTATTCATTGCATCGAATTGAAGTACTGTGGAATCATCCAAGTATCTATTATTATACTTATTAGATTTATTTAACGGGCCTGTTGGCCAAGTTGTTAGTGACCAGAGTTGTTAGAGTTAGCAGTCAGTGCTAAACCGGAGGTCGTGGGTTCGATTCCCACCCAGTACAAATATTTGTGTGATGAGTACGATCGTTTGTTCTATCTGGGTGTAATTTATCTATAATATGTATGTATTTGGAAATATACAACTATGTTTATCAGCAGTCTGGTTACCATAGCACGGGCTCTGCCTACTTTGGTTTCAGACGGTCGTGTGTGAGATGTGTGAGGTTATATTATTATTTTAGTTTTTTTTCTCACCCAGTACACATACGCTCTCTTTATCGAAATCATTTAATATTTGACAGAGCTTAGATAGGCCCCACATTCGACTTCTTTAAATTGTAGTTTAATTTTTTCTAGATACTATTGTTATTAAGACGCTTAATTGTATGTTATAAATGTTTTCAAGGTAGGTCTTGTAGATCCTACCTATTCCATAGCTAATCACGGAGTCGGCAAGTAAAGAGTATCCTATGTGTCATCCGGTTCATAAACTTTCTTGCATTTGATCCAAATCATCCGTTTTGCATCAAAATAAAAAATCTTCGGTCATGCTTCCTCGCAAATTTTCGAATAAATTATACTAGTAAGATAAACTTTTGTGTTTTTTATGGTATATACATCTCAAACTAATTCTAAATTAGGCAGCCTGATGTTAACCAGACCGCTGAAAAATATACTTATATATTTCTAAGTACATATGATAGATAAATTACACCCAGACAACAAATTATCTTGCTCATCATAAATTATTGGTCCTGGGTGGGAATCGAACCCACGACCAATAGCTTAGCAGTCAGGATCGGTCACCAGTAGACCTATAGGCTACTCAAATGATGTTTACTGATTATTATTGATGATTGTAACAGTGAACGTTACAAAGTTGTTCTTTTTTCATAATAAAAATCAGTACAGAATAAGTACTGATAGTTACAAAAGTCTTACCATTCTTTCACAACGACTTCCCTGATACCCTCTCCAATGTCAGAAAGCTTGAAAGCAACCACTTTGTTCGCGGTTTGAGAAGTGTGAAACTTTCTGCGGCGAATGTGAAAATCTGCGAAACTACGTTTTACAGTATTCCTCGTCAAGCATTGAGATTGGTGCCTCTCCTGGGAAAAGAAAATGAAACTTCAGATTAAGGAACGTTATGGCGGGATCGCCAAAGTAAACACAAGTGATTAGTAGACGTTACAAATTACAGTAAATTACATCAGTACCTCAGTAGTTACTGATGTCTTTTACTGTAATTTATGTACATTCATATTTCATATTTTTTCACGAAACGTCAAACGAATACACTAGCGTCTCTATAGTTAAACCGCCGTAAGCTTGGCCCTCCTGATGGTTTGGGGGACGCGGGGCGGGGGTGCATTCAACCAATTAGCTAGGGCGTCGCTGTCCGCCGGCAGTGACTGACGTGAAAGCATGGCTGTACGTGTTATTTTTCTTAAGACTACTACACTCGGTATTATTTTGCAACATGGATAATTTGCCGACTCTGCGTCACAAAGATTTAAAAACTTGAAGTTCGTCTTGCAGAGGTTCTACTGTTAAAGTTCTAATAAAGAATATTTATTATTTTACTTAATTTTTAAATTGTATCTGAATATAATTTACATGATGAAGATAAGGTGATTTTATTAAAATTATTTTACAGTATTAAATTTTACAATTAATCATAAAAACTTACAATACACTGACATTATAATATATGGAAGTAAATTCGATTTTTATTACATCGTGTGTAGATTAAATCTCAAACAAATAAATCTAAAGATATCGAGTTAGTACATCGTGTCATGTATAGTCGAGCGCATCACCCGCCCCGCGTCCCGCAAACCATCAGGAGGGCCAAGCTTACGGCGGTTTAACTATAGCTACGCGCCACCGCGTGACACCTTACCCTCATAATTTATTTTTCATTAATTATTTTTGTTAAAGTTATTACTTTATATAAACTGTGGTAAAAAAACAACTTTAAACAACAACAACCAATCCTAAAATCAAAATTATCTTAAAAAACTTTAGAAGGTTGTAGTTCCTAAATGCTGTGGAATTTCTACTTGTTATTTTTTTGGTGATGCATATTTTGATAAACAGTAACCATAGCAAAAATAGGATCCAAATTCTTCATCATAAAGGAATTTTAAAAAACCTGAAACAACAAAAAAATAATTTTCTCCGTTCTTTTTAAGCATAGAATATTGAGGTTTTTTTGACGTGACAACGTCTTATAAATTGGTTTGCCGGGTGACACTTCAAGAAACTGCGTTACGCTCCGCTCACGTTATGCGCTCACAATGAGAGCGAGTGAGAGGCACGCGTCCCTTCCAATCGGGCATGGTTAGCCCGCCTAAGAGCGAGAGAGACAGACATAGTCGTTGTCACGTAAAACTTTCGCCCGTATACCGACTTTACAGGCAACCAATTTTTTTGTTGCAAACAATCATGTTTGTAAATATAATTACATGTCCTATAAGCAATAAAAAGTGTTATTTTTCAAAGTAAAAATATTTTTATATTTTCCATAGAAATACTTTAATGTCAAATATCTTATGTTCAGCACACTGCTTGCCTCGTATATTCTCTCACTTTTTTAATTGTAATTTAATTTATTAGTTTTAAGATTTTATGTTTTGCCTTCAACTTATATTATTTTATTCGCGTTTCTGCTGTGACAAAGTCTGGACAATTTTTGTTAATATCAAAATTGCTTACGTGGTTAACATTAATTGGTTTCACCTGATTGTAGAAATTTAAATTGTAATATTTATTTTTAAGGACTGTTGTTAACCCTAATAAATAAATAATAAAAAAAAAACAAAATTGTGGCACGGGAGTTCTACTACTTCTACTACTATGATTTCGTTTATCGATAGATGTAAATAAAATAAGATGTTCGTTTTTTTCGGTCAAAAACCATAATATGCTACGGTAAATACACCACAATTTACCAACTATCGCAAGACATGATGCACAACGGATGCTAAAGTAGAAATTACAGAATACTCTAAACACGGGATCCCCACGAGAACACTTCGACTGTAACTCATTAATTCTCTTTACGACGACCATGGACACCTTTTTACTTCTCGGGTATGCAACTCTCTTAAAGAGGAGGCATCTGTGTTGATCTTAAACCTTTGCCTTATAGGGAATTTGAATATTACTATTCCTTGGATTACTATTTGTGGTATATAGCACAGCATATACCAGCTTTAGCAGTAGCTAAAGTCACGGTAATATTATAATACAGTAGTGTAACTCGGCCGCATGATAGAAATAAATGCCTACAGCCGCGCGGTACGTAAACATGCGTTAGGGCTGTCCGTCTCCAGCATTTTAATTATATTTGTCTACTTTCTGTTTCTATTTAGATTTGTGATTGTAAATATCCTTTTTATATAAATAAATGAAATACTTTGTATATTGAATAGGAAGTGTTCAATAAAAATGCGTGTTGTTTTTTGATTGGTAGATTTAATTATTTTATTTTCTTTCTGCATTGGAGGAGTTCAAGTTGGTAGGGCATTCTTTTTTAAAAGTTTTCTATTTGATGAATGTAATACATCCTCCAAATTAAAATGTTTTTCACAAACTTGGTAGGAACTAAAGTTAGGTTTGTTTTCCAAATCATCTCGCCGGATCAGTTGCAACCATTGAAGACGTCTGAAAAAAAAAATACATGTGACACTCTCGGCAACTGCCGCGGTAAAGCTATTGCATAACATTTTTTTTTAAGAAAAAAATCTGCGTGGTGTCAGGTATTTTTCGGTTCTTTCTTCGTTAGGTTTTGAGAATTTCTTGATTCGGTCACCGCGCCGCGCCGCGCTCAGAGCCCGCGATAAAAGCTATGCAATAGTTTAAAAATCCTTCTATAGAATAAAAAAAATGTGCTTTGTCCTTACGCGTTACAAAACGCCAACACCTACCTACTCAACTAGAATGCAAGAAACAGCTGACGAGTAAGTAACTTTTTATTTCAGCTTATTAACGTCTCTATAAATTAGGTACCTACCTACAACTCAAAACAAAAATTCTTTGTTCACCAATTAATTAATTATTAAAAAGCTGAACAGCTGACTACGAATGTTTGTAGTCAGCTGTTTGTACAACCCTCAAACATCTAAATATTATATATGAGTCTAGCTGTTATTGTTAATACCGAGAAAATGAAACCAGTTTTTAGTGGTATATGTTGTTATAGTAGCAGCAGAAACACTTTGCGAAAATTTCGAAAACTATCTAATGACACACAGACGGTAAAAAAAAATTTACTAGTATTATTCATACACACAGATAATAAACAAATATTATTAAAAATAAAATACCACGTCTTTACTTTGAATTATGCAAAGTAACAAAACACACATGCACCGAAGTTTTAACACAAGCGTAAATAGGTAGGTACCTACCGTATCATGATTCATTCAGAACCGCATATAACTACCTATTTCACTCGTCTCAATAACTTTCCGTTACTCTATTCGCTTTATTTATTAATCCAACCACCTTTTTTTTCGTAAGATAAAAGGAAATACTTATCCATTAAAAAGACACACATTATGTACCTACCTACTAGTAAGTAAAATTATTTTATAGTCTTACCTTTCAGTTTCCAGGTAATTTAAAAAAACTTATGTCTGGATGCGTTATTGACGAATTCATACAACCAAAAGCAGCACAATATTTCCTACTCGTCATATTAACTGATTTTTAGAGAAAAAATCGCGCGGTTATTGTTAAAAAAAACAACACACCGTCCGTTCGACACTGCGGTACAGCCGTGACTGTCTGAGCCCCGAGCGCACCCCGAGATCGAGGCGCGTAGGTATAGCTCGCGTTTCGTCCGTTTGTATGAAGTTGGAGTACCGTATTATAATTGTACCGTGCTAAAGTAGTATCAATCGTCACTGACTTTTATTCTTATGTCAAAATGGAGATTTATTTATTTATTTAAAGTGTATTACAACTTCTTTTAAAGTGTTTATTTAAATATCTAGGAATGCAGATTTGTGCAAAACCGTTAATTTTGAAAATTATGCCAACATTGTTCAGCTTATATTCAAATACATATAAATATACATATGCTTATACAATGATATGACATAACATTTCCACGGTACAATTATAATACAGTATTGTAACTCGGCCGCATAATAGAAATAAATGCCTACAGCCGCGCGGTACTTAAACATGCGTTAGGGCTGCCCGTCTCCAGCATTTTAATTATATTTGCCTACTTTCTGTTTCTATTTGATTTGTGATTGTAAATATCCTTTTTATATAAATAAATGAAATACTTTGTATATTGAATAGGAATTGTTCAATAAAAATGCGTGTTGTTTTTTGATTGGTAGATTTAATTAAAAAACATTTTTTTGTTTGAAAAACCAATCGGGCTTATAAATTAGCGACCGAAAAAAATCCTTCTATAAAATAAAATAAATGTGCTTTCTCCATACGCGTTACAAAACTCCAATCCTTAGAAACTCCAACACCTACCTACTCAACTAGAATGCAAGAAACAGCTGACGAGTAAGTAACTTTTTATCTCAGCTAATTAACGTCTCTATAAATTACCTAACCTATAACCTACAACTCGCAACAACTCAAAACAAAAATTCTTTGGTCACCAATTAATTAATTATTAAAAAGCTGAACAGCTGACTACGAATGTTTTAAAATCACAACCCTCAAACATCTAAATATTATATATGAGTCTAGCTGTTGTTGTTAATACCGAGAAAATAAAACCAGTTTTTAGTGGTATATGTTGTTATAGTAGCAGCAGAAACACTTTGTGAAAATTTCGAAAACTGTCTAATGACACACAGACGGTAACAAATTTTTTTTAGTATTATTCATACACACAGATAATAAAGATATATTATTAATAATAAAATACCACGTCTTTAAGTAGAATTTTCTTTTTTTTGAATTATGCAAAGTAACAAAACAAACATGCACCGAAGTTTTAACACAAGCGTAAGTAGGTAGGTACCTACCGTATCATGATTCATTCAGAACCGCATGTAACTCCCTATTTCACTCGTCTCAATAACTTTCCGTTACTCTATTTGCTTTATTTATTCATCCAAACACCTTTTTTTTCGTGAGATAAAAGGAAATACTTATCCATTAAAAAGACACACAATATGTACCTACGTACTAGTAAGTAAAATTATTTTATAGTCTTACTTTTCAGAGTTTCCAGGTAATTTAAAAAAACTTATGTCTGGATGCGTTATTGACTAATTCATACAACCAAAAACAGCACAATATTTCCTACTCGTCATATTAACTGATTTTTAGAGAAAAAATCTCGCGGTTATTGTTAAAAAAACAACACGCAGTCCGTTCGACACTGCGGTACAGCCGCGACTGTCTGCGCCCCGAGCGCACCCCGAGATCGAGGCGCGTAGGTATAGCTCCCGTTTCGTCCGTTTGTATGAAGTTGCAGTACTGTATTATAATAGTACCGTGACATTTCTGCATATGTTTGTTTGAATAAATGGAATGTAGGCAATTTTGATAGCGTAAATCAGTTTTCGCTCGATATACAATTAAATCCTTGAGCTTGAGCTTATCAAATTATAACGTCCCTAACTGCTCATTTTAGATAATGTTATCTTGTCACTATAGAGTTCAAAAGCAAATATCAGATTCTGTCCCAGATTACATCAATCTTATTAATGCACGCTGATAGCAATATTTATTTAATCATTAAATAAAAAATTGTCCTTTAAATCATAATCATTCTGTTAGTCAACCGAAATTGCCAAAACTTGTTTAATAGAATTTAATTTTTTATCGACTGTATTTTTTATGTTAGTTTTATCCTAATTTGTATATTTGTTTTTCAGCAGTTTATTTCATGGCTCTCTTATCGTTATATAGTAATTTTAGATTGTTTCTTCGCAGAAAAAAGTTGTCAAGAATTTTATCAGAAAAAAATAATAATTCGATATTTGGAAAAAAAATTATAACTTTTATTTTTGTATCTAAACTAAGATTTAATAACTTCCTTATTAACTACAAAAATGCTCAAAGAAGGCATGCTAAGTTAAATAATACCTGCACAAAAGCAATTTTTACGTTGCAACGCTTTATAACACGTGTATGTAGATTTGTAACCTGTTTCAATTAATCTTTTAATTATTTATACAATACCAAGGGTAATTCAAATGTTATTCATTATACCATCATTGTTAAATAGCGTGATTCTATTAGAATTCTGCTTAGAAAGTTGTTCATCAAGTAAATATAATACCTGTATCTATATACGAACAATTAGAGTAAAAGAGATATTATAATAACCTTAAATATAAAAATGTATATAAACCACTTACAGTTTGTAAAAGTACAATAACATTGCGACACTTTGGTACATTCTTCAAGTTCACTATACACTTTCTTATTAAAAACGACATGGTAAACTATAATTAATGAAACTATTTTTTAGTGTTGAGGCACAAGATTATATCGCCGGCCGACGCTCCTTGCCTCGGCTTAACAAATACAACTGTATGTTATCATCATATTATCAGTGGGCCGGGCCACAACGTGCATTGATTATCATTGAACAGAATTAACAAAGTCGAATAATGAAGCGAGTCTACGTCACAAGCCGTGTCACTATTCGTCTACAGTCTACTTCGTTGAAAAACACAACTCACGGCACGAATTAAAATGTTTACAACTCGACACCGAGTTAGCAACTGCGCCTTCTCTTTCCCATTACCTGTCTCCGCCATCGCGATCGTCCACCGAGCGGTTTATTCTGTCGTTATTACCGTGTACGTAAGGAGTTGCATGAATGACCTTCCTATGTATAATATTACCTAAGTAAGAACGATATTATAATTATCGTAGAATGTAAATATCAAGGGTTTTGAATTTAAATTTGAATTGAAAATTATTTTGGACTAGATAAATAAAACAAATTAGACTTCTTAGACGTCTTACTTAATATGCTATAAGTTAAGTGTGTAACATACATACAAGTTTAGGTATTCCATCTCCTTCAGCTTTTTAATTAGTATTTAAATAATGTATTAGTCATCAAAAATCATCAACGGGAATTTTAGTATTAGGGGTTAAAGTATGAAATTGTAAAGTAAGACGTTACTTAATATGCTATAAGTTAAGTGTGTAATATACATACAAGTTTAGGTATTCCATCTCCTTCAGCTTTTTAATTAGTATTTTAATAATGTATTAGTCATCAAAAATCATCAACGGGAATTTTAGTATTAGGGGTTAAAGTATGAAATTGCCGAATTGTACTGAAAAATTGACTCGTTTTTTTCTAAGATGTAACATATTTATTTAATCAAAATATTTGCCCTCATTATCTATACATTGCTGCTATATAAACGGAAGTTCATTTAAGCCTTTACGATAGTACTCTGGGGATGTAGAGTTGACAAACTGTGTGAAAGCATTTTGTACTGCCTGCTTGGAAGAAAAAGTTGTATTACGTAGAAAACTGTCCAAATCACAAAAAAAAATGATGGTCCGTTAGAGCAAGGTGTGGCGAGTACCTACGGAGGAGTAAAAATCGATCATGATGAACACGAATCGAGGCCAGTTTCGTCATCATTGTTTGAAGTTCAGCACAGTAAACATCTGCTGTTATTGCCTGACCAGACCTGAGAAAACTATAGTGAATAACCTAATGAAGAGACCACCAAACAGTTACTATTACCTTTTTATTGGTAATCTTTGCTTTAGGGCACTGTTGCGGCGTTCGACCTGAGGTCAGACATTGTATTTTTTGCTTACGGTTATCGTAAACAATCCACTTTTTGTCACATGTCACAATTCAATCCAATATTCCTTAATTTCTGTCCCGATTCAATAAGACAACATAAGTTTCAACACGCATTTCTTTTCGCAGTCAAATCATGAGGCATCCATTTTTCAGAGAGAGAGAGTAATTAATTGTACTATTAATATGATAGGATATACCACAGGACATCTTTATATGCAATATTTATAGGCCCGCTCCGATCCTGCCTGCCGCTGCCACCCGGGACATAAAAGATGAAAATGGTTACTGTGGGTACCTTAGGAGATAGCCATATATCATTCTAAGTCTCAAAGAGCAACGCGATCTTTACGGGACTTAAACCGCAACCGCGCAATATAAACCGTGCCTTAGGGAATTGTAGGTATAATAGTGCCCTGGCGTTTTTGCACCGTAACCCCCCAACTGAGGATTAGCAGTAGCATTTTCCGTTCCACATTCCCGTTGCTTTTAGTTGCCTGATAAGTTTATCAGGCAACTAAAAGCTTCGGGGACGTTAAACGGGGTTAGTTGCCATAGCGCCTGTGTCAACGGTTGTAGCTTTTAGTTGACACAAGCGTTGAAACAGGCGCTTTTGATTTTGTTGCAATAGAGTCGTCATCATCAATACTATATAATTTATATAAGTATATAAAAGGTTAAGTTATAATAATAATAATAATAAAAATGTTTATTTCATCTCCACAAATTACATTTTGTTTTATATTTAACAGTTGACAGGAAAACTGTCAAGAAATTTGCAATTTGTGGGAGATCTGGAGTCTAAACTAAGCCGAGGCCTGTACTATAGATCTCCAGGCCCCCATCACACTTAGCAGATTTGTCAACATGTCAAAAGCGTACTAGAGTGTGTGAATGAGTAAACAGTAAAAAGATTTTGCATTAAAAATATAAATACGAATGGTTGCGCTGTGAGGGCGCGTGTGTGTGTGTGTGTGTATGGGCGTCTGGTGTGTGGGTGTGTGTTTGTGTGTTTAGTGTGTGTGCGAGGATGGTTAGGACTTGTATTTTTTATAGAGTATCAATTTTGCTTAAATTTTCGTCCGTTGTATGTAGATAGGTGTATAAATATTAAGCATAAATAAATGTGTTATTAATTAAGTAATACCTATAGTGATATACAAAGTTTAATGTCAGGAGTGTAACATATGCATAAGTATACATATACAAACTCATATGTATACGTAATGTACATATTAATCTATATTCTTACATCTAAGTTTTTTTCTGTTTCTAGTAACTAAGCTTCAGTAACCATTTTTGAATTATATTTTTGCATTCGGTTTTACAAGAGTTGGACAAGGGAATTATTTTGTTTACTTTGTTGAATAGCATACCTCCTCGGTATGATAAAAACCTTTGTGCAAATGAGGTATTTACGGTAGTAGGCTCACATACTGCATAGTTTCTTCTAGTCTGAGCTATGTACTTTCTTCTGTCTTCGGACAAGTCACTATGTTTATGAAGCACAGATAGCATTATATATAGTTGGCGTACAGTGAGGACCTGTGCTTCGTCGTAAAGCTTAGAAGTTGGAAATAGCCGAGGTTTTGATAGGCTTATTTTCAGTATCATCCTTTGAGCTCTTTCGAGGGTTATCATTTTGGTTTTACAAGCTCCTCCCCAGGTAGTGATGCAGTAGGATATTATTGACTGCACTAGGGCCTCGTATACCAACCTTACAGTCCGCTTGTCAGCTACGCCACGTAGTGCTTTAAATATATATGTTAGTTTTCGTATTCTATGGGACAGTGTTTGTATGTGGTTTTCAAAATTTAAATTAGCGTCAACTTCGATTCCCAGGTACCTAATACATTTTCTAGGGGTAATTTTGGTGCATGTAGGTTGTAAAGTTTGGAGTAGGAGGAGAATTACATTTATGCACATGTATATTATTGGTAAGATCGGCTATTTCCCTTCGGTTTTTTATAGAGAACACAATGAATTTGGTCTTATCTTCATTTAAGGTAAGAGAGTGAACTATTAGTCAGTGACAAATGGTGTTAAAGGTCTTGCACAGGAAGGATTCCTGTGCAAGGTTAAAAAGTTCATTCCATGAATCTGCGTAAAAGGTAAGAGCTGTGTCATCTGCATAAGCCGAGATGCGGCAGTTTTTAATGTTAAGTAAGCAGAGCTCATTGATATAGCAGATAAAGAGTGTTGGGCCGAGAATACTACCTTGTGGCACCCCAAATGCAATTGGCAATTCGTCACTAATGTTGTCACCGATTTTCACGCATTGGGTTCTATTGTGTAGATAATTGGACAACAATGCCAGTGGGATGCCTCTTATGCCATGAGCCTCCAGTGTCTCCACAAGGCAGAGAACAGAAACAGTGTCAAAGGCCTTTGCAAGGTCGAGAAATATGGTCAAGCATTTCTTTTTATTATCTAGTTTAGATACCAGAAAGTTGACAAGGTCAAGTACAGCATTGTTGCTTGAGCGGCCTAACCTAAACCCATATTGCGAGTTCGAAAGTAGATTGCCGCCTTCTAGGTATTTAATAAGCTGGGTGTTAATAATGCGCTCAAATAGCTTCGATAATGTAGTTAAGATTGCAATAGGTCTATAGTTACTGACACTGCAACTATCACCCGCCTTGTGTATAGGAAGCACTACAGCTCTTTTCAATGCATCCGGAAAAACCCCAGCCTCCAGACAGCGGTTTATCAAATCAGTTAGAACAGGTGTTATTGCATTGGATGTAATTTTGAGATTTTCGGCACTGATCTGATCCCAACCTGGTGCGCAATCACTTCTTAGCTGCTGAATTATTCTCTCAACTTCTCCGTCGTCGGTTGGTAGAAGAGCAAAAGATTTTGCAGGGGGCTTAATTACTTTTTTGAAATTGGGAAAGCGAGCGCGCACAATCGTATCCGCTAGACGTTCACCGATACTAGAGAAATATTCATTTGTTTTGCAAACCGCTTCTTTAGGATTGTCAGCGATTGTTAAAAGATGCCGTGGCTGTTGATTTTTGTTACTACTGTTAGTAATTGTTTTAACGGCGGACCAAAGCTTTTTTGCATTATTTTTAGACAATATTAGTTGATCTCTCTCGTACTGTTTTTTCAGTTTTTTCAATAAATTATTGCAATAGTTTCGATATCTTATGTACGATATTTTCAATATTTCATTGGTTGTATCTGATTTTAATTTTTTGTGCATTCTATCATTTGTGCGTATACAACGTAACATACCAATAGTTATCCAGGGTTTTATTATAAATTTATTTCTAGGAGTTAAGTGTTTTATCGTATTTTTTGCAATTAATTGCTGCATAATATTAATGAAATTAGTCATTGCAGTATTTAAATTTGCTTCCTGATAAACTTTAGCAAAGTTATATTTGTCACAGTCGAATTTTAGTCGTTCTTTGTCAATTTTACAGATCATTTTTAGCTTTGTAGATTTATTTATAGCAACGTCAGCTTTTAGACTAAATAAGACTGATTCATGATCCGTGATACTGGTTCCTAGGATAAATGTGAACGCATTTAGTTTCGTTTTTAGCAATACGTGATCTAAGCAGGATTTTCCCCTAGTTGCAGTGTAGATGGCAGGAAGTAGTCCATGGAAAGTGATAGTGTCCATATACGCTGTATTGGTGTGGCTCGTTT